ACGATTTTTCAGTACGAAAAAAAAGAGGAATATGTCATATAAATTTTTCTTTTTTTGTTTTGATTTAGATTAATCAATAAATTTTACTTAAAAATAAATATTTCCAGTGCGGCATTCCTTTTAAAAGTGATTTAAAAAAATTAATTTATGAGGTGTCATACACGTCACTCATACGCACCGTAACACCATTAAATCAATTTCACACAAAAAATGATACAAAATAATATTTAATTTTTATTTTTGAATTGAATTTATCATTAAATTTTGCATGAAAATGCAACTTTTTAGGATGTAATTGTTCTCAGGAGTAAATTAGTTTCGCATCATCTCCATTTTTAAAATTACAAATTTGAAAAATTTAATATTCCTCCTGATGAGTTTAACAATCGCGACGAAGAATTTAACCCGCATCAGTTTTAAAGAATAAAATTATGAAAAAAAAAATACTGAGTGTAATGCTTAATTGATCTTAAATCAGTTGATTAATTTATAATGAACTCATTTATAGGAAAGCTATTTGTAATATATAATTATTCTCATTAGTGGCCTTAATGAGCGAAAATGCGTAAATGAGACAAGAAGGTTTTTAAATCAGTTTATTTATTTATAATGATCAAATTTATAGGAAAGCTGTTTATATAGTAAATTATTCTCATTAGCTACAATAATAAGCAAAACTGCCTAAATGAGTCAAGTAGAAACTTGGTATTAGATGTTTGTCATTTTATTACTTTACCGATTATCAAGTAACAGAGCTATGTCTGAACACTTCTATTGTTCTACTGTTGAAGTAAAATATTTATCAAATTTAATATAATAAATTTTCTTTTCTATTGTCTAATATAATATAATATAATATTATTACATAAAGTGATTGTGCATGACAAGGTGTTTTAACCTGATGCAACAGTATATTTTTTCCTGTATTATTCACAAATCGACTGTTTAAATGTAACAATAAAGGCAAAGCGACCACAATTGGCTAACAAAATTGAAGTTGTGTTCTATCGTAAATATTATAGGCCTCAGATACTCGTATTTTTGAAAACTCAAAACAAAATAACGGCACTTGGTTGAGAAATTGTGATGCAATTTTAGTCCCTGCAAAACTCTGTTAATAGTAAGAGTGTTGCTGAAGCTCACTTGGTTAACATTTTCGCATATAAAGTACAGAAGTTCTACGGTGATGAAATTATAAAACTACCTGAAAAATAACAAAAAGTTATAAATCATAATAGACAATATATACTTTATTAAAATTGATTTTCAATAAATAAAATTTTTGCTTAAAAATATCAATTTTTAACAGAAAACCACGGATACTTTGTATATCACCCATAAAACCTTGTGACTGATACATTTGTAAAAAATTTGGGGAATATTTTGTCTTCTTAAACAACAACTTCTAATGTATTACCTTCGAAAGCTCCCTTTCTATTCCCTCCCACCAACAATTTAATTGTGATGTTTGATGTACCACTTGTTGGTTGCCGCAGTTTACAAAATACTGAACAATGTTAAGGAAGAAGTTCGACACGTGTCCATTTCGACTTCCTATAAAGGAATTACGATATAGAAAAACGTTCGCCATTTGTCAGTATATAAGTACATGTGCTATACATATAGTATATTCTGTAAGCTTAACGTAGCTTAAGTGTGTGTGTGTGGTGTTCATTCAGTATTTTGACTAACGACATATCAAACTATACTCAAATAATATACCAAAAGTTATCCAATGAATAACCGAAATGGAATATCTTCACAAATGTTCATATCGTAGTACATATGTAGTGCATATGTAATTAGTTAAATATGAATAAATTGATAAAAAAAAAAAAGACAAATATGTTAAACATAATTATCACACTTAATTTTGGTTCCTGTGTTTACGCTACGCCCACCGGAGTCATTTATTTAACACATGTTATACATTTTTTACACCCTCCTAAAGTCGTACTCGTATTTTTTGGCAGGCACCATTGATACAAGGCGGCAGTAAGTAATTAGTATAGTAGTTGGAATCAAGTAATTTATGGCATATTAAATAAACAAAAATGATACGAATAAATTCTTAGATAAAATAATTCATCACTTCATGAAATTGGCACAAAATTTAGATTGTGATAATTTGGGTTGTTCGCTAGTCTTAATTAACCAAAATTTAGTTACTAATTAAATTTTGATTTCGTTAATATAATTAGTTCAATAAATTAGTTTTATTATTAATAATTTTGATTTTATCCATTTATCATGCTAACAACGAAATCAAAATTTAATTAGTAACTAAATTTTGGTTATAAATAAAAGTCGTTAATTCTATAAACTCGATAGTACCTGTTTCCAGTAAAATTCATACTTCCACAACTTAGAAAACTTCATAAATAATCGTAGTAGATAAAAAACTTAATATAACTAACTAACTTAATAGACTAACATTAGGTATAATATTATGCTCCTAATAATATAAGAGAAGTACGATTGTAGGGAATGGGGGTGGGGGTCTCATCAAAGTTTGACACTCTTATCTTAGAACCACTCTGACTAAGTTGGCCGTCTTTATTAGTATTGCTTTCAGGCATTTCTGTGACAACATAACATATATCTTGAGATTAAGATTTACTTGCTTTTGTTGTTGTTGTGTATATAATTGTCATTGAATTGATTATTATTGAGATTATTTCTACTACATATATCTTAATAATACATATTGAAGTTTTAACTGTTATTGGTACAAGGTATTGTGATGGTTATTAATATAAGAGGTAAATTAATCAACACCCGGCGTAAATAATAAAAACGCTTTTTTTTGGAAAATTAGATTTTATGCTTTAACATAGTCCTCTCGACGCACCGACTCCAATGATATTTCAACATTTGGATAACTTTTAAATAACACGATTTATCAAACTCTCTAATACATACCTCAGTTTCTCATTCCACTTTTTCATTTCATGCAAATCTCTTTTCTAGGAGCTGTCTTTTAAGGTTTGAAAACAAATAATTGTCACTGTGAGCCAAATCTGAAGAATACAATGGGTAAGGAAGCAATTTATACCGTAATTCATTCAATTTTGCCATGGTTTTTATAGACGTATGAGTGTGTATATTATACAGGAAAAAAAATTTTGTTTCTTTGACAAATGTGGTCTTGATTGATTTTTTCTTAATTTCCTCATGCAATCGTTTCAATAATATGCAATATTATTAAATAATGATGGTATTGTTTTTCAATTTTTCAAATAAAGTCTATAAAAATTATTCCACTTCAATTCCAAAATACGAAACCCAAAACTTTTCCAACCGATTGTTGAGGAGCACTACATTTCCAAGCACTGTTTTGAATGACGAAGTCGTCGTCGTTGTTATTTTTGATCAAGTCAATTATGAGCAAAAGCGCACCCATCTTGCTGAAAGCTTTTTCATACCCATATATTCATGTAAAAAATTCGATACACGTTCATATGACATGTTTGTCTTCCCACTCAACTAATTTTTGGATAATCCAACAAAATATCGTAGGTTTTTCCATGGTTTTTCTGTTGTGACCTCTTTTGAACGACCCGAACACACATTTAAATTCAGTCTCCCAATATTTTATTATTGGTACCGATGTAAACACAATCCATTTCCAATTGGATTGCATCATCGCTCATTTCTTTTAAATGGAGGAATTTTATTGCTGAACGATATTCAAGTTTTTCCATTTTTTGAAAAATCACCAAGGTACACCAAGGTACCAAGATGAAGTCAAAACTTTTAAAAACTCCCCAGATATACAGAATATAGTTAATTTAGTTCTGGCTTTGCCACCTGTTGTGAAGTCAGGTAATTATCAATCAATCTCATAAATTAAATTTTTTATTGTATCCTTCTTTTTTACTGCTGTCTAGAGAGACTGTAAAATCGATATGTGCCATTGCTTGGTTACATATCTATTACAAACACATCCAATCTGTTACCATCCAAAACCCATATTTAGTACAAACCAATACGCAACCACTAGGTACAGATAAATATTAATAAACACACAAATTGATACTACACCCCATTTGTGTGTGATGAATGGGACGGTGATGCTTATGTGGAAAAATTCAATGATTCCAGTCTTGAAAAGAACCATTGAATGCACTATTTGTGAGACCATGTAATAACCTATTGAATTAAAAATATTTAACTAATTCTATGCGTTCTAAAAAAATAATGTACATTTGCAATTTAGAAATGTTATCTCTCATTTTACCATTGTCTTCGCTTAGACTCTCGTTAGACCTGTTAATGATATTAAATTCATATTTCATATATATTATTAAGTTTATATGAGATCATAGTGAGTACTGAGAGCCAACTATGTGCCTTTCAATAGTTCCACTTTCTTTGTTCGCTTTTGTCATCGTCCAGGCATTCGAGTACTAAGTTTATTTTTTATATTTACTACCAGCTTTTTTGTAGGATTTAGCACTTTAAGCTACTCGAGTAGAAAACACTATTAAATTGTTATTTTTGCTAAATAATTAGAAACATTTTATTTTTACAGAGCTTTGCAAATTACAAAACGACTCATTATTTTCAACATATTAATAAAAAAAAGTGTTTTTGAATTTTGCATACTTATCTACAATAAATTAAAAATAAATATGTATTAATAAAACTGCAAGAATGATTTCACAACAAATAATGCGAATAATTTATCTAACTTAATAGATTATAATTGATAAAATACAAGATCTTTTGCTTTCATCGCCTTTCCTCTACAAAAGATTCTAGACTTTCTAGCATTACCAAAATGATGCTCTTGATCCCTTGGAATCGGGATAATTTTGTTCAGGAGTTCTCTTGGAATCACGTTTTATAAGTATAAAGCGAGATCATCAATTGAATCAAAGTGTATCGATTTCCAATTTATGAAAATCGAGGAGAAAGGATATACGTCTACATATTATAGTACATTTACTACTAGTAATTCTCAAACTGAACGATATAAATAAATAAAAATACAAATGCAGTACTAACTAAATATATTTATTTCAACTGTTAACCAAAGTTCTAAAAGGTGTATATGTCCAGAATAATAATTAAAGGTGGAGTGGCAGGCTTCATGGCATCTTCAGAAATTTCATGATTTCATTTTTGTTGATTTCCTGAAATAGATATTAATTAGTTTAAATAGAAAATTGAATTAGTACAGTAAAAGACATATCAACAGAAGAAACACAATAATAAGTGTTTAAAAAATTTTAATAAATTCTCTTAACTTACTGAAAAATTTGAGTTTTGGTGCAGTTATATGGTAGATTATTTCCGTCCGTATACATTATTGTGTACACTAATAATCCAACAAGTATTTCTAAAAATATTTATAATGCAAATAAAAGTTTAAAAAGTTTGTGATAAATATTTAAAGTGTTAAATACTTTGATATAAGATGAAAAAATTTATTTACGACTTTAAGTTGTCGATAAGATGGATACCGTCCTCGTAACACCATAAGTGTGGAAAACTAATGTTCAAACAAAAAAATTAAAGTATTATTAATTGCTGTCAAATATGAGAATTTTGTTTATCATTTAAAAAAATATTCAATATTATCCTACCAATTCAATGTTTTTTCCCCTTCTTTTTTCCATGGTTCTTGCCACCTTTCTTTGCACGCTTGTTTTTCCTTTTCTTGAGTTGTCCTCCACGACGGCCTGCTTTCTTTTTCTTAGCGCGACGTTTGTTAACCGCTCCCTTCCTTTTTGCTGGTTTACGTTTTCTTCCTTGTTTTGTCAGTTTTAGCTTCTCTACGGGAAGAAATACGTCTAATAAGTCTACGCTGTCTATAACACGAGGCCTATGTGGAGAGAACTCTTCCTTCTCACTCTCGTTTAAATGAACCCAAATCTCCCCTCCACATTTAATAATTTGCAACGGACTTAATTTTGGATTGCTTTTTTGGAAAAATCTCAAAAAATTGGTGAATCTGTTTTCAGTCATTTTACGAAAAATTTTTTCTTTAAGAAAAAACTTTAAGTTAACAGTTGAAGTTATATTTTATTAATGAAAATTTTTGAATTTACTTTACTGTTTTACTTGAAATGTCAATGCAATTCTGATTTAAATAGAAATATATAGTGTAAAACTGCAAAGTAGAGGGAAACTACTTGAACCCTTTGAAAAATCAATTCAGTATTAAAAATTTATTATATTATTTATTCAGTTTTTTGACGAACAATATCGCAAAACCCTGTATTTTTTTAGATGTTTTTTAATTATATATACCATATATTTTTCAAATAGGATTCATAACGATTTTCATATACAATATTTTCAATCTTCAGAAAAAGATCATATTTTACAAAAGAAAGAACTAACATTTCTAATACAATATAATATAATAAAATATTTTTCTTATATAATAGAAAAAATTTATAATAAAAATTTTATAAAATAACTACATACATTCTTATTACACTACTATAAAAAATAATATACAAGTTATTTACATACATACATACATAAAATTTTAAGTTTCTCAAACTTCATTCGAAGTTCGAAAATAAACCAAAGATTTAGGTGCAAACTTTAATTCATTCTAAATAATATGCAATATATGTAATTTTCTCTTATAGCAACATTCTCTATACCAATTGTCGTATTCGAAATTCTTGCTCAAAATAATTTGTACCAGCCGAGTGTACAGACGAACGGAAGGGTCTTATCTTCATACAGAAACCTTATTCAAGAGAATAAGGTTTGTCCTCATTACCAACTTTGTTGGACAAAATCTGCAATATAAAGAAAAATTTGTTTCTCTCAATTCTCTTTCTTTCTTTAAATAAAAATATATTTCAAATATAGTTTGATTTTATAAAATTCTAATTGAAGAAACTGGACAAGTACCTGAAATGTCAGATATGCAACAACTTTTTTCAGTTATTATAAATTATAATTATAATTATCAGAGTCAACTCAGAGTCAGCGCACCTTAACCAACTGATTCTTTTCTAAAAGCGTAGTAGGTGGCTTGATCTTATTCGATTTTAGGTACCGGCGCCGGCGGTTTTGTTGAAGAGTGTTGCCTATCTAAAGTCCTGCAGTTCTTCAGGTCTTCAGAACACCTGGTTGAGAAAATACAACTTCATATCAAGTGATATTATAAATATTAACACCTTTACTGTATAACTTTAGATTTTAATCACAGTAAGAGCTATATCTAAACAAATCTACAACACTATCAACGCTAACAATTAACTGAAGCTTAATCGAAAAGTTCAAAACATATTAAATCAATTACAATTAAGTTCTCTAAAAAGTAGCAAAGTATATTAAATCACTTCAACTTAACTTGTTACTCAATTTTAAATACTCAAATAAAACTTAGCTAAACTATCGGTTCAATAGATCACGATACGATTTTTCATTGGTATATACACAAACATTTGAATATATGAATTTAGAGTTACCAGTAAACTCTTTACGCTTATAAGACATTCTTATAAGCGCACATCTCTTCTAATAATGCAAAGTTGCTGATCCCCAATTTTCATTTTTCAAATAAATCACGTTTTCTTAAACAGTAAAAACTTCTTATCTCTTCGCGAAGGTAGCGACTTCAGACAGCTTTCACTGTTCACACTGCAACATAATTATGTTAAAAACGATGATGTAAAATGAAATCGATGCTTTTTATCAAAGTTCAACAAGATACATCCGGACTTTATTGTACAAAAAATGGAACTTAAATATTTGAAGGATATGGTGCTGGATGAATTTTTATAATCCCTATAAGCCACCACAATACTCTCGTATAGCGTCAAATCAGTCAAATCAGAGAAAAAATGACTCGCTAAATGACTCGTCAAATCAGAGCCTATTTTATAAATCGCTAATAATCTATTTATTATACTTTCCAATTTTAAGGAAAGTCGTAGAATTTTGTAAGTATTGTTAACAATTATTATAAGATAATATAATAATAACTTAACATTATTACAGCCTCTATGACTTTCTTCTTGCTGGTAATTTTTGGTGGCAAAGTGAAAGTGAGCATATCTACATTTCCTTTCAAATTTAGGCACAACCAAAGACATTGTAAAAATACGATATTGGCAATACTGATATGACAGTCTAAATAACATGCTTTTTCGGCATAGCCTACAGAACAAGGACCTAGGTAAGACTAATGAAAGTTAATGCCATTGAAAATGGCAACAGAATCGTCAAATATGACGATGGAAACGAATTCAAGAAATAATATATTGGACTTAAAAAAAATAATTTTGATTTAAGATTTAGATATATGTGTTTATAATGCCATTTCTTGCGTATTTTATCGACGTGGGCTTTAACTTCTCAACCTCTCTACTTTCAGGAATATTTGCCTAATGACACAATCAATAATATTCAAATCAAGTTGACGTTTTCTTTTACTAAAATGAATCTAGTTGTCATGAAAGAAATTTAAATGTCAAAAGTTTAATGTAAAATATTTGCTGTTCATTCAAAATTTGAAACAATAGAAGTCAACATCAAATTCTGCTCTCCGAAAAGTTATATTTTAATAGTGTATTTGGTTCAATATTATCGAACTCTACTTAGTTTTTATCGTTCAAGAAATGATTTCAAATTTCAATTGTTAACTATTAAATTATAATTTATTTTTGCAGAAACTTAACATAAGGTAAGTGTACTCGTATTGCAATATATATTTACTTTGCGTCTACACTGGCTAGTATTTGGCAAGATTTTTGTATACACTCGTCAGTTTTCGCTGGCATATACGAAATTTTGTTTGTAGATAAAACGCGAGAAAACTTATTCGCATTCGAAAACGAAAATCTTGCCAAGTCTAGACAGTATAATGCTGAATAAGATTCCATTTTATCGGCAAAAGAACACTACTTATATTACACGCACCATCAATTTCGCTTGCATTTAGTTTAAAAAAAGAAATATTGGGTTTGGGTCTTGTTTGGAAAACATAATTTAATCACTGAATAGTCATAAATCCTATTGAGAGTCTATTGAACATTTGTATTTTTATTCATGTTCTTTAAAACCTCGAAATAGTATGAAATTACAAATCATTTACGAATTACAATAACAAAAACATATGTTATTCGATAATTAAAAGAACTGCAGAACGCTTGCAAGTATTTTAATAGGGCAGTCTATGAGTGACGAGAGAAAAAGTAAAAACCCGGAAATCAAGAAAACTCTTGGGCTTCTCTTTTTTTTGTTTGTTTATTTGGAGCTACCAATTTAGAATGGTTAAACTATCTGTAATATTTTCTCTATAATCCTCTAATAACACACATATCTTTAGCAATATGTATCGTCATTTATTGTTTTCAAAGATTCTAATTTGGATCCGGATCTATCAGGTCTATATGCGATCTCAGCACTACTTATCGAATACAAAATTTTTTAAAACAATTTTGACAGCTATTTTTTTCAATCAACATTTGAATGGTTGTTCATTAAAAATGTTTCTTTGTACTTAGATCAATATTGTAATATATAAAAAGATTTAAACAAATATTTTCTTCAATAACTTGGTATCTCCCCTATAATGTGGCATCTGACACTCCCCTCCTTAAACCAAACACCTTCTTTTTTGTGTTTTCTCGGTATTCGATATTATTAGCGATAGTACTGACATTTTCTTTATTTATCAAAATGCATACTTCGACAATATATAAACTATACCAAACAGTAGGACTTGGATTACCGATACACTTTAAATTTGCAAAAAATAAGTCAATTTTTTTTATTAACAAAACCACTGAAACAAAAGTCACCCTTTTTATTTACCGAAATCCCGTCGTAAGCAGTGATAGTGAGGCTGTAGTCATTGCAGCAGTTATTCAATCTTCTAAGAAAGTAATCCATATTTCGTGATTAATTATATACTTGGGCGTAGAACTTCGCAAAAATGATTTGTGAAGCCAATATATAAATAAATATAACTACATGATATAAAACTTGTGCTAAAAATGCACTTCTTTATATATATATTCAATATATATATATACTCAATATAATTTACATCAATTTATATATATTAAATATATATATTCAAGTATGATTGTTCAAGAACTAACGACTGTTCCAAGCGCGGCGCAAAAGTCGCTATTATATATATCATCGGTAGTATTTATTTTAAAATAAAGATATAAAGTAAAATTTTTAATTTGTAAATGTTCTGCTACGTATCCCACTCATGTAATTTAACAAGACAATAATGTTCCAGTTCCAGGGCTCTAAGTTTTGTATGGTATATTTACTTATTTAATTAATGGGCCATTACTGATGCGTCCAATAGCCTCCGCCGATCAGTGGTTTACTGTCGCCACTGAGCACCTACATATTGTTGTTTACCTGGTTCTTCTAACGAAGATACAGACATCCTCTAATATGTTTTTTATCAACGGGTACCGAATCAAATACCTTTCCAATCAAGAGCATTTTCTTTCATTCGTCTGACATGACCAAGTTAGTAAAGTCGCTTAATTTTTATGCGCCTAACATTGTCGCGGTATAGCTTATACAGCTCATGGTTCTATCTAATTCGATTTTTTTTTGTCATCACATAAGGTACCATAGATCTTTAAAAAAATTTTTCTCTCTAAAACTCCTAATGTCTTCACATTGCTGTTAATAATTGTTCATGCTTCTGCACCACACAAAGGACAGGCATGATAGTAGACTGGGGGGGCGTGATTTTTGGCTTGTGGAGAGAAGGCTTTATTTCTTGATTGCTTATTTAGGCCGAAGTAACATCTGTTCGTAAGTTTGATTCTTCGTTGAATCTCTAGGCTGTAGTCATTTTAAGTATTAACGCTAAATGTTAACACTGAGTTTCTTTCTTTTTTTTTTGGAAAGTTCGCAGTGTAAAGAATACGTATATATGAAAGATATAAACCTTGATCCTCGAGGGACTTTTGCTTTGATGTTTCTATATAAAAGATGATTATAAATTTAGACTAATTTTCTATTATGCATGAAACTACTAATTTTACGATTCAATTTAACTAATACTATTCCGTTGACTTTCTCTTGGTAGCTGCAGTTGTAAGATGTAGTTATTTCGTAACTTTTTTATCTTCATATGGGGCTGTTATTTCACGATATTCTCCTTTTATGTTGCTTTTTCTCCTTTTTTTTAATCAGTTAGGCCGATAGCTATTGCTGTCTATTAGCAAAATCGGAAAGCCTTAACTTTGCCAACTTTCTGTTGGCAAATCAGTAAGCCCTTTTTGTCACATCATCGGAACGTTGTGCTTTTCAGTCAACTGTCCGCAACAGCGTCTCCCACTGCTAATAGATGCATCTCAGCTGCAATTACATCTTAGGGAGTCATACTGCAATTTCAATTTAGGGTTTTTCACAAAAATTTTTAAGGTGTCAGCTATCTCCTTATTTTAGGGTTTGCTAAAACGATTTTGTAGAGTTTTCTGTTGTCATCATGCGTCGTCATCTACTTTGGGCGACAGCGCGTTCGGCATCATCTGTGCTTTAACGGTCGTAATTAGTAAATCACTTCTCTACCATTTGTCTTGATGTTAGTAGGATCCGAATAGCACAAATTAAATCAAGCTTTTGTTATCACGACATTTTTTTCTGTTAGAAAACTATAATATATAATTAATTGCTTTGAATCTATTGTTCTAAAAATATAAAAACTTGTTTCACTAAAACAGCTGTGAGTTAATGATCGGTCAAATGTCGTGAAATATCATGGAGTTTTCATTAAAAGTGCTGCCAATATGTCATCCTACGAGTTTATCAACCGATATCTTATGTGTGTTGCTTCGGAATTTAGTGTTTGAGTTAATTATATTTCAGATATTGACAAAAATTTTTGGATGGATAATGTTTTTTTTTTTTTAAAACTATCAAGGAAGGAGAAGGGAAAGTGAGTGGGGAGAGTAAGGTGGCCAAGGTAAGGAAGTGAGTTGGAGGAGTAAAATGGCGAAGGTGGGGGAATAATGTGGGGAAGTAAGGTGGTGGTCAGTTAGAGTGACGTGAGGTGGTTGGTTTCTGTTGTTGTTGTTGTTGTGGTTTGAGTTAGTGCTATTGTGCACTTTTACTCTTTTGTGGCTGGGGGGCGTATACCTGCCCCACACTAAGCTTTAACTACACTAGAATTATTATCATTTAATTATCTTTTAACTGATGACGAACCGTAGATCAGCATATCTTCCTGTGCGCCTTGAGGTGGACTTAAGGTTTGTTAGGGGGGGGCAGGGGTCTGTGAATAACTTTAGGGAAATTTATTTCAAAAACACCCTGTATTTGTGTACCTTCAATTTTTCTAGTGTTTTAAGTTGTTTAGAACAAATGACCAACAATTTTTTTTTTTGAACTAGATGCAAGCTTTGATGAACTTAAGCACATATATACTGACATACATATATAAAACATTTGTATATGGTATTTATTTACCAACATATTTACACGTCTAGACAAGTACGCCTATGTTTCATTAATCACACTGTAACATATTGTAAAACTTAATTTAAAAATGAACGTGACTTCGAAACCTACGAATATGGGAGCAAATATCACATTTACTGCAACGATAGTATAGTATGTATATACACTATATTTTTTGTAGTGTATGTTTTTTTTTGGTTGGTTTTTAATAAAGCATGCGTTGAAAAGTTAATAATCTAAAAATGTAATAATAAATCAAATATTAAATATATTTGAATTCAGTAAGTTTATAAAGTAACTAAGTTGTGACGTTCTTATCTAAAGGATGAAAGTAAATACCTAATTTAAAATAGCAAATATTTTTAAACATAACTGGTATGATATACATATATTATATATTTGATTGAAAATATTAATTTTTCGCAGTGCACCTTCAGCATCCTTCAGCTGTCAATTTGAATGAAATTCAAATCGCATGCGCGAAAATTCCCAGCATCTGTCAAAACAAAAGATATTTACCTCCAAAAGGGTGAGTCTATGATAAACAGTCAAACGTGCGGTTGTCGCCTTCCTCGTAAGGAGTGCTTTTATTGTGAAAAATGATTTTATTATACAAAAAGTGATAATTGGCAATTAGCTAAAAATAATTCCTTAATCATATATGATAAATGCACAAATATTTTCAAATATTAGAAATTTTTAAAATAAGTGCTCGAAAAGATGCGCTCATCATATTACAGTAAAGATAAACGAAAATACAGTGACATGACATATGAGTAAGTGGTTTGGTGATGAGATGAAAAGGAAATTCCTCTGCTCTAGGTGTAGTATTTGCTTGCCTTTGTATTTGACAAAAGGATTATTCCTATATCGTGAGTTGAGGTGGGACGAGTTGAGGCGGAATTTCAGGTTGTGTTAAGCATTCCTTGAGGCAAATAGCGCTGACATATACCACAACAACAAAAACTACTAAAAAAACGACAATCCACCTACATTTGTAAAAATAGTAGAGAAAACCTTGTTTACAAAAATAATTCCACTATTCAGAATGAGATCAGAATTTTATGTTTTCTTGGTGATTTTAGTACTAGCTGTCGTTCGTGAGATTGAAATCCTGTAGTTTGAAAGGATTAATGAAAGAATAGTAGTAATTGTGTAAATAAATTCAGTGCTGCAAAAAGTATGTCGTCGCTCACCTTTCCGTGCAGTATTTACTCTTCATCTTCAAACTAGGTTATAGGCTAGTTAGGTATAATTTTTTAATTTCCTCTACACCATCCTTTAATGCGAAAATATGCTTAATTATTTCTGATTATAAATAAATCTTTAACAATGGAAAAGTTATTGGTATTGATTAATTTATAATTAATTATTTTACTATTTTTTACAAATATTTAGCAATTAACTGTTGTGATAAATAATTATTTAAAATGCTATCACTCATCACAAAAGCAAAAAACAAAAATCATCCAATAACTTCCCTCTCATATTTCTCATACCTCTTCTATTAATTAGTCTCTAACTTATACTCTTCCAACTCCATCCGTAAAATATACATTCCTTCTACACAATTTAATTTTGTTAGAAGAGGAAATGATTATAATTAAGATCTTCAAGAAATAATAAAATAAAATAGTATGATATAATATATTTGCTTTCCAATATCTTTTTAATAGTCTATTTACATGGCTTAAGTTAATCATAATCCCGGGATTTAGATTAAATACGCATTTATACAGCAATTAACATTATAATTCGTCAATCAGTAGTGTAAGAGCAACATGTGGATAAGAAGCAATACAATTTCATAAGAACTACGCAGTTTTAAAATACGGCTTGAATTAACCATATTAAAAGAGCTGCCTAATTATAATAACGAATAAAACTCGATTTGATACTCAAATCTATTTGAGAATTATAAACACGTTGACAATGGTAATAACTCAATCAAACAAGTAATTTATGCCGTTTAAATAGATTATGAAGCTATGTTCACACTCACTCACTCATCAGTCAGTTTTTGTATAGAATTTATATGAATAGTGGCAATACAAAGTAGTGATTATAAATTTATTTAAGGCGGGATTCTTCTCACCATACCTTTATTCTCATTTATATATATTATATATAGTGGATTTTTTATTAGATCGATATAGCAATTTAGGTCCATATACTAGTAGTGATTATAAATTTATTTGAGGTGGGAACTAGGAAGCGGACCCATTTAACAAATAAATTTTAACTTGAAAACTATTTTTGTGAATTGTTTAAATATGTTTAATATATGTCTTCGGCCGAAAAAATTTTTAAGTGCAAAATATCTTCTATTATTTCACTCAATATCTTCTATTATATAATTTACTAAATAAAAAAATTGTATTTAAATCGGTATTCCGATTTCCATTGCTTTACGGCACTGCTTGGGCATACACACTCCCTTACCTTCGATTGGGCGTTAGTGGTCAGCATTACCCCATACGTCCTGTTCTCTTGGTGAAATGTTATTTCAGATATATTTTTAGTATTACCACGTAAATAGTGTTTCACACATAGTTTTAAAATTTTCTTCAAATTTACCTTTACCAAGCGACTTAATAATATCAGAAATATTTTTTTGTTAAACATAAGTTTTTCAAAAGGTGTTTGTTGAAAAGAGCATATAATATATATGACACCTAAATTTTCTAAAATGTGTGTGAAAGCTCAAAACTCTATTATAAATAATTACTATTTTTTTTTTATTTTTTTTTCAAAGTCCAACTTTTATTTTATCTGTTATTGTATCAATCATTTTATACCACTTTCTAAGTTTGCCATCAAGAGAGAAGAAGTTATAGAATTAGGTTTAGTTAGGTGTGCTAAATCCAGTGACTAGCCAACACTGTGTCCGGTATCAAGTCATTGTACATGGTACTGAGGGCATGATCATACAGCCGGATAATTCCGAATGTATATCATGACTGTGACAAATTTTCGGGTTTGTGAGTAAGGCCGAAGATTTGAGCACATAAAAAGTTATTATTGATATTGATGTTCTCTACCTATAAATTGTAACATTGAACCTATATTACAGAGTTTTATAACTTCATCCATTATAAGATGCCTATCTAGGTACTTATTATGTTTATAATTTAGTGTCGGAAAGCTCATAACACATATTTTGAGATCTCATTCTCTGCCCTACAAAACCGACAAGTTCATTTAGAGTAAGTTCCCTGTTTTGTAAAGTGATATTTTACCCTACAGTACCCTGTCAGAATGTATGTAGAGATCCATAAAATTTTTGCTCTTAATTTAATACAATTGCTAGATTGGCTTAGTACAGCTTTCTTTGTTTCTACTCTTATTACTGAATGGGTAAAAAGAAATTACTTCCTTTCAAGTCACAGAATGATATCGGTTTCTTTGAAGCATATATAGTATAACTTTTTTTTAGAAATTTTCATGCTTAAGTATCAATACCTCTTAAATTTGTTCTTATACTTTTATTTTTATACTTTTTAAATTTTAATGATATACTTTTCATACCCAGAATTAACACCGTTTAAGATCTTTAAATCTTAAATTTTATTATTTAGTTTTAATATTTCCAGTTTATATAAGACCTCTATTGTTTTGTGAGTAATAACTGCTATTGATTGATTGAGAAAGACTTATTTATTTGGAAGCTATTCAGAGGGAATAGCTTCCATTAAATAAACTTCAGATTTAAGTTTTACTAATTCAAATTGATTCTATTATAATTTCATTATTAACAACGGATTGTGATGCTGTGTTTCTTGTTTATTCTTAAAAGAAGATTTTCCTGAATTGTCAGACGAAACGTGCTCCTTTAGCACTATTGTATAATGATAATGAGAAATTCCTGGTAACAGAGTTTTAAGAAGTACTTCAACTATACTTCACTTTTAATCAATTTTTATTCATGTTTTGTTCAGAGTCTAACGGCAGCGCTGCTAATAGGTTCAATCACCCAATAGAGATTGCGACTTCTTGCGATTTTTCTCAAACTTAATCGAACATGTATGTTTAAGAAAATTTAATGAGTAATTTAAGTAATAAATAAATTATGACTGTGTGGTGGTATCTAAGATGTCACATTATCCATAAAAAAGGGAGAGATCCCCATAAAGTAGAAGTTCATAAAGTAGAAACGAAACGAAGTCACGTTCATTTTTGCTATTTTAACCCTAAGACATTTAGACATTACATTTATTTCAAATCGAAACACACACCCCAACACGTACTTCAAAAACATATAGAATATAATTTAATTAGTTTAAATGGACATTATCGCATTTGCAGTGCATATATACATGTATATACATGTTTTAAACATACTCTTGGATAGCATATAATTGCATCATCTATCAACTCCTTAACTTGGTATTTGTGGAAAAAAGTCAAAATTATAAATTTTCATATACGACAAACTTGTAGTATGAGTGAACATTTTGTTAGTGAATATTTTGTATTGGGACACAAAATTGGAAATGGATCATTTGGAGAGGTTTTTACCGGCACAGACATTAGATCTGGGAATAAAGTTGCAATAAAGTTCGAATTGCCTCCATGCAACAAATCACAGCTATGTAATGAGCGGAATGTCTATGCAAGTACGACTGGGTCCGTTGGTATACCAACTTTTCATTGGTTTGGTGAACATGAGGAATATAATGCATTAGTCATGGAATTACTTGGTCCCTCTTTGGAGGATTTGTTTTTTGCTTGTAACCGTCACTTCTCTTTAAAAACAATAATCCAGCTAACTGATCAAATGCTAAGACGAGTTCAATGCCTCCATAAGTCCGACTGGTTACATCGCGACATTAAACCAGATAACTTTGCTATGGGTATTGATGAGTTTTCTAGCACTGTATATTTGTTTGACTTTGGTTTGGCAAAAAGATTTTGTGCTCCTCTCGATGGAATACATATACCATTCAAAAAAAACAAAAAGTTAGCTGGCACTGCAAGATATGTCTCTATTCACACGCACATGGGCTTAGAGCAATCTCGTCGTGATGATTTAGAGGCATTAGGTTATGTGCTTTTGTATTTTAATTTGAGCGCACTTCCTTGGCAAGGTTTAAAAGCGAAAACCAGAAAACAAAAATATGAACGGATTGCAGAAATAAAATTATCAACACCACTGACTGAACTCTGTAAAGGTTGCCCGCGAGAATTTCATATATATCTTAGGTATTGTCGAGATCTTGGTTTTAGTACCTGCCCAGATTATGAATATCTAATAAAATTGTTTCATGGAACTGCCAGCCGTTGGAGGATTGTTTACAACTGGGTTTTTGACTGGACAAATATGAAAAACCATTCGGTCTTTCAAGAAAGCCGAAAAGATTCAATAACGAAATGTGTGCAAAATGATAATAAAACACCCAGCCAAAATGTTTACCATAATCCTAGGGAAGTGCGACTGTATAATCGTGTGAGAGTTAGTGACGCAAAGCCTTGTGTACAAAAATGTAAGAACAGTCCACAAATACAAATGCGTACTCGTCATGCTGAAAAACGGGGTGTGCAGAAACCAGGTTTGCAACCAAAAACTAAACAAGCTGTTGTTGATAATTGTTTTAAGAAACCAATCAGAAATGATACACGTGTTAAACAGCATTCGTTACGCCATGAGATAACTTCTAAACAATGTCTGAGAACCATTAGATACCATGAAACAAATCATACATTAGATCAAATGAAGCCTCAACATGAACTGCACGCGGATAATGCTCACAATAAAACTGCTCAATTAAATGAAGATCTCAAAAATCAATATCCTAAAATCAACCGGGGGCGTTCGTTTTCAAATCAGATACAGAAACTAACTTCCAAAAACTTTGTTGACACACTCAATCGACATAAACCGTTTAACAAGCAACGGCGAAAACTTTTACATAATAATAAAATGAGCAATGAGGAGGAGCAGGGTGAACTTACAAATAATGGATGTCGTGAATCTGATAATAATCGTTCAAATTTAAATCGAGTTCAAACCCGAAATTCAAACCAATTGATTAATAACAATCAATGCTATGAACGTGATGATACTCCTTGTAAGCAACTACAGTCAAAAAATGTAAATAAAACCCACTTGAATAATTTTGACAAATCGCAACTGAAGAAACCTCTCAAACACAAGTGCGGTGTACACGACAAGGTATGTTCTGTAGAAAATCTAGAAAATTTAAGAACTGATCTGGAACTTCAGCATACTAAACCCTGTGTAATGCATGACGAAGTACAAGAAATGGGTTATTCGAAACAAAAAAACAATCAACACACAAAACCTAAAGCTCTAAATCATCACCGAGGACTTCCTGAAAAAGAATTAAATCCTAAATATAATAGTAAGGAACAGAGACATATGCCACAAAATCACGAGCCACAATCTAACCAAGATTCGTATGTGAAACCAATGCCACCGCCTCGCAAACAATTTATTGACAGTTATGGCGATGGTAATATTAAGCAACGTCAATATAATGCAACCCAAAAGCAACGATTAACTGGAGGTTCAAATATAGATCAAGTGGCACCATTGCGTTACAGTTACAAAAACCAACGAAATTATGTTTCTTTAAATAAGAACGATTCAAATATTAGCAATCCATGTCAACCAAGAAACACCAAAATTAATTATTGTGAAGCAAATATTAATAATCAGGTTAATTTGAAGAAGGAAATTAAAAGAAACGTAAATAAAGTAACCCAAAATCAACAACAACACCAACCAAACATCAACCAAGCCCATTATAAAACCTCTTACCCAAAGTGTGATAACAACGAGCCGGTACCCGAAACTGGAATCAATCCAACCGGTAAACCAATTAATAATGAGAAGCGACAGTTCATAGCAAAAAACGATCCATCGAGAAAACAATACAATTCTGGATTATGTGAAAAACAAAATAAATTCATCAAACCTCAATATAGCACCTATCAAAACCAAAAAAGGTTCATACATAACAATGGTATGCAGGGAAGAACACCCAATTTTAAGCCAAGAGAAACCAAAAACGAGAAGAAACCGCAAGTTTACAATGAAAGTCAACCGCAGCAAACACTAAATACGCAAATGCCATACGACAGAAGTAATCAAAATTATTCTACAAATGTCCAACAAATGAATACTTCAACTCCATACCCAAAAAACAAGCCGGGCATAACAGAGGCACAGCTTTTAGTTAATCAGGGCGCAATACCTAAACGTATGCCACAGAAGAAAATGCCTGATCATAAATGGGTTGGAACAACACCAACTGAAAATGTTAGAAAAAACTTGCATATGCGTCCAAAACAGATCCAAAAACCTCCTACCATTGACATACCAGTTTGTAGTAGAACAAATAAGAACAAACTGAAGGTATACATGAATAGCTTCAATTATACAATTTTTTATTTAAATAGTTAATAATTAATTTAAAAAATTTTTTAGCAACCACAATTCGTAAGTCTTAATCCTGACACAAATGTCCCTAATAACATGAATAACGAAGTTTATGGTACTAAGAAGTACAGCACTCCATACAGATGTCATGGATGGGTAAAAATAGAAAATAATGAAATTGTAGAAAAACCGGTGCCAGTACACATATCAATGGTTTATAAACAGCCAAGAAATCCAGCGGTTGTTCCTCAAACATACTTTAAGAAAAGTTGTGGCGTCACGCGAAAACCTGTCGCCACCTCTAAAAATGTAGTGAGCATTTTTTTTTATTATAAAAAATTCCATAAATTTTTTTTATCTTGTCTTGCTTATCGAGGTTCAAACTTTAAAAGTTATTGTGATTATATTATATAGGGTGCCGTAATTATAATCAACTATTAAATGTTATAGCAGTTTTACAGGTAAATTAGACCATCCTGAGGTTTGTCCCGTAATTCATTCTTATTTCTTTTGTCAGGATGTTAGTTTGATTTGGATTGAAATATCTCCATAAAGTACATAAAAATTATTCGTGATATATATACATTATATGTACCTACTTCACGTTCTCTCTCCTTAACAGTGTTCCTCTTCATTGCTAATTGTTATAGTTACGGTAAAATATACTATATGTACCCCATACATTAGCAAAAGAGCCAATTACACCCAACTTTGGTTTCTGTGCAAGTCATCCTATTGGACTTTCTTTATCATTTCAAAAGTCAAACGTCGCAATCAATAATTTATTAATAATTTTTTTTAATATTTTTTTTAATGTTTTAATAATTAATTTAATAATAATTAATAAATTTCCAGAAATTCTGCTTTTCCGTCTTCCTTCGAGCGGTAGAATTTTCATGGGCAAGTCAGGCTATTGGACTTTATTATTTCAGAGATGTTGCTCTTGTTAAGTGCTAGTCATTCGGAATCAATAATTTATTAATAATAGTTTTTTTTCAAATTTTTTTTAATTTATTAATAATTAATAAACTTTTTCGTCTTCCTTCAAGCGATAGAATTTTAATGGGCGATATTGGCTAGCTTTATAATATAAACCCAACCTCTTCTGATAGTTTTAAAAATTTTTTACGATTTTTACTACTCTTATCGCATCTATCGATTTATAAAGATCCAGGATTTTATGCAATTTTTTAGCAAATGATCTGAGCAGTTACTGAACAGATCTGAGCACTTAGAATTGTATCTATAGCTTAGGAATCCTTCCTTATTAAATTTTTCGGTCGCCAATGTAGGTGCCATCACAAATCAGATATGTTAGCCTTTTATTGTATACATAAACAGCATAAAGCTTTTCTTCTGTCTTTGTTGGAATTAAATTGATATTGTTAGGTTATGATGTCCAGAGTAAGAATCTTATGTTACTGAATCTTCTCACATTCATCATGGAAACTAAGACCTTTGCTGTAATGTAACTATATTCCGCCTATTTCTATATTTCAATTCCTTTTATAAATTTTGTCGCTTCCGTGTAGTTCCACGTCCGTGTAAGCGGTTCTATCCCTCAAATCAAAAAAAAACTACATTGAATATTTTTATTGTGGTTAGTTAGAAAAAAAGGAAATCTAATTTAAACCCCTTGATATTCGACTAAGTCAAAATTATCACAATCTTATATTTTGAAGAAATATTTATGCTGTTCCAATTCTAATCATATTTGGTTTTTTTTTTACAGAAGTAAATACCTACTTGATCCCAAGTATATGACCAAACGCGACCTTCAACACTATTATCGATACTACAGCATGACCAAAAATCGCAGTCAATTCAAAAAAATCATCGTTATTATATTAAGTATCTGCTTCTTTTCATATATTTTTGTGGACTATAATCTCAAATCGAAAATCATACACTTGAAAAATCAATTCGATTTTGTGCCACGCGAAACATACTTATTAAAAAATGGAAATGAGTCCGCAATGCCCGTATATTTTGTAGACACACCTGGTTGTCGGATGCCATTTTTCAACGTTACCGACGACAACATACTACAATTTATGTTTAGACCGCAGGCCATAGTTTGCAATAAACTATTATTGCGGAGCAGCGAAACGAAACCTTTGTTATACCTCAACATGAATTCAGCAGAATTGCTCCAAGACTTCAATATAAGCGATTTGAGGACCGTTAATTGTAATTATAGCGAGATCATGCGTAAATCAGATTACCAAATTGAATACCTGAAGCCTATACGGTTTCATTTATCTGCTGAACGTCCAGTCAAGATAAAGGCTGGCGTAGAGAACATACTAGTGCAGTGCGCTAACAAAGAATCACAGGTATTTTATAAGGATTATCATTTTTTCATCACTAAGCCACGGAAGCATAAGATTGTTAATTACAGCAACGGAAACATTTCAACTATACATAAGCCAGACACTTTTAAGCCACAAAAGGAACGTATTAATGTTCTTATATTTGGTATAGATAGTGTATCCCATTTGAATTTTCTACGTCAAATGCATAACACCGTTGGATTCATAAAAGAAAAGTTGAGCTATGTCGAATTCTGGGGTTATAATAAAGTTGGTGACAATACATATCCTAATCTGATACCTCTACTGGTTGGATTAGATGAGAATGAATTGAATATTTCATGTTTATCACAATCAATTTCCGCTAATAAACAAAATTATGATAAATGTGCTTTCATTTGGAAGCGTTATAAAGAAGCAAACTACACAACTGCGTACGGTGAGGACGTTTCCTTCATGGCATTATTCAATTATTTTCGTTCCGGATTCGTAAAACAACCAACTGATTACTATTTGCACACCGTGATTAGAGAAATGGAAAATCACATCAGCTATAATAATTTTTTGAATGTGAATTTATGTTTAGGTGGACGAATATCTGCTCATGTCCTAATGGAATTCGTACGGAAACTTTTACCACTCTACAAAATTGAAGATGTCTTTGCGTTTCTATGGAGCTCAACCATTACGCATGATGCGTTCAATATGCCGGCAGCTATGGACTACGACCTAATGCAGTTGTTTCAAACTTTTGAAGAAAATGATTTATTTAATAACACTATTGTTATATTGATGAGCGATCACGGACTGCGCTGGGGCTCATTTCGCAAAACATACCAGGGTTCGATGGAGGAGCGTCAACCACTATTTATGCCCATATTTCCTAAGTGGTTTAAGAGCAGATATCCACGCGCTTATAAAAACCTCGAAACTAACGCCAACCGCTTAACAACACCATTCGATGTACATGAAATGTTAAATGATTTGGTTAATTTGCAAAATTTAGAAGATGCAAATATTAAAAGTCGTGAAATTGAGCTTGCAGACAGCACAGAAGGACTGCCGCGTGGCATAAGCCCTTTCTTGACAATACCAGGTAAACGTACATGTGAAAATGCGGGTATAGCAGCGCATTGGTGCACTTGCCACCAACGACAGGAACTACAGACAACAGATGCACGTGTACAACGAGCTGCACGATACATTGTTAAACTGATCAATCATCGTATCAAAGATCACATACTATGTCGTACACTATATCTGAACTCAATATTAACGGCGGAAATTGCAAAACCCCACATTAATATCATCAAAGATGTCAACAATGAATATAGTGTCGATGTCACACTCCGCATACAAACGAAACCCGGCTTAGCCATCTATGAGTTTACTGTACGCATGACGAACTACACAATCGATCTAACTGGAACGATTAGCCGACTAAATATCTACTCCAGCCAAAGCTACTGTATCGATGAAAAACCATTAAAAATGTTTTGCTATTGCCATAGGTAAAAAAGGTTATATTCTTGGATCAAGTATTGTAAAAATATTTTCATATTTTATCTTTTCTTATGTATGAAACACATATACAAAAACATGATAAACGTGTATATATATAATAAATAAGTATATATTATATTAATATATCAAAAAATAATGCGTATGGTGTTTTACAGTTTTACAGACTACTATTGTACTGTAGTAGGAAAATAAAGGCTTCATAAGACTTTGTATATAAATATTATACATATATATATGTATGTAACAATTTATTACACACAAGCACTTAAAGACAAAATTATATTGTAATTTATTCGAAAGTTTTAATTAAAAAAAAAATATTTTGAACTGAAAAATTTTTTTTCTTTCTGTTTACAAATGAAAAAAAATATTTATATATTAAAAAATAATTATAAATGTTGAAAATATTATATCAAAATACATGTGGAATAACTAAGCTTTCAAAGCTGCAACTTGTTAAATTAGTTCTTAATAATTTTATTATATTAATATGAAAGGACCATAAGCCGTAAGATAGTTAACATGGATATAATTATTGCAATATCACAATATAACTCATAGATGCGTTTTTGTTGCACTGAAGTGCGGCAAAATACAACAAGTCTCTTGCTAAAGTCTCTAATATATATACGCAAAACAACAAAACTACACTCCGAGTCTAACGGACTAGTTATGAACATTCTAATCAGCTAAGAGACTGCAGAGAAGTATGTTACCAAAGCGACAAGCGATCTTTTATAAACTAACTAGAAATTTCAACAAATTTTATTTACATATTTCATAGATATGGTTGGTTGATTACCACCAGTAAAAATTGTTAAATTGACTTAAGCAATAACTGAGCGCTTGAAACCCCTTTTCTGATAGAAGAAAGGGAAAGAAAGTATATATGTATACCTCTTCAACTTAACACAACAAAATTTACTGTTTTTCATTAGCTCAATACAGATATGTACATATGACATCAAACGTTTTGTACGAGAACAAAATTTCTGGAGCTGGAGCTTTCAAGATAATGTTCCTGCAAATGAAAGCATTTTCAAGCCTGAAGTTGCTATAAGTCCTAGGAGAAAAACAAACAGTCTCCCAAGTCCAATAAAGCATTGTGTCAATATATCAAATACAGACTGTTTCAATACTTATCAAATTATAAATCTCAGAATGAGAGTAAAAAAGTGAGTAATGAACATTTATTATGTCATTATTGAACTATATCCTATTTCGGAGAATTGTCAGATTGTTTGATTTCAGTAGAGCTTCTATAGATAGTGTTAAAAAAATGATATAGAAAAAACTATCGCACACATTTATTACATCAGAGTTCGGCTACTTTCAGATACATTATTAGCTCTTTTTGGAAAAGTTTTGGAATGAGATATTGTCACATTGTGTGACCACAATGGAACTCCTATAGGTACTATTATTATTATCAAAATTCGGTTACTTTCAGATAGACAATTAGCCCTTTACAACATTTTCAGTATGAGAAATTGTCAGATTGTGTGACCTCAATGGAGCTTCTATAGATACTGTTAGAATGATGATATAGAAAAAACTATTAAACATTTATTATGTCAGAGTTCTGTTTCTTTCTGATGAAGAAACAACCCATTAAAAAATCTCTATTTTAAAAATTTGGCTAAAATTTTATTTTGAAACTAGTTGATTTAATAATGATGGGTGAGAAAAGTATATAAATCTGGGCACCATTTCAATTTTATATTGACTACACAAAAAATTGGTAGCAAGAAACAAACAGACCAAATTTAAAGCCTGCTATTTTGATATACAATAGCATAGTGGAAAAAGCTCAGTATAGGTGACCTCCTTTTTTTTTCTTTTTTTTGGCTTAACTAAAATCCATCATCAAATATATGTGCCCGAAAAATCGGAATCGTTCATAAATTTTCTAATGGTATTGCAACGAACTTTAGAACTATATCAGTCTCAATGCTTTCTGTGCTTGGGCCCCGACAATTGTAATGATAATATACACAATAATTATATCCATGCTAATCTTTATTTTGATATTAAAATTTTAAGACTATAATAAAATTAATATGAAGATATTGAAGGAACAATATGAGAATGATAATAATTTCTTTTTATATAAAAATAAACATAAGCAAAAATTATACATACCATATATATAATTATATTAATAACAATTAAAACAATCCATATACAGTGTTTTGAAAATATTTGTAATAAATTCAAAAACTGTTTTATAAATTATTGTAGTAATATTATTTATATATATATATTATATTATATTTAAAAAATAAATGTCATAAATGTCAAATAAATGTCATAATTAAGTGCAATAATAATGAAATTAATTTTATATAATAAATTAATTTGAATAAAAATTATAAAAATTTATAATTATTGTAAAAAAAAAATTAAATAAACAAAAAAAAACATAAAAATATACAAATAAATAAATCATTTTATTTATAAAAATAGAAATTATAAGAAAATTCTACGTCATATTTTTTTATTGTTGTCATAATTACATACTATTAAATATTAGACATATAGATGTGTTAATAATAAATAATTATAATCTTATAGAAATATTCTTTTAGGAATAATCTATAAAATGTTTGGCATAATATGAGAATTAATTTATGTTGTAAACTATAATTATATATTAAAAATATTAATTTTTTTAACAGATATTTACTAACTCATTGTCATATATAATAATTATTATAATTTATCTTGAATAATTGTTTTATATATATTTTTTAAAGTATTATAAGCATTTAATTTATACAATATTTGCTCATAGACGTGAAAGATGACTTTAGACCTGCTTATATATATATATATATATATATTCTTACAGCTATGTAGAGTTTATATTATACAGGGTTATCCATTTTGTGGTACTGAAAGTAAACACAAATAAAACACACTTTTGATGTAGATTCTGATCACGGTAGATAATATCTGGAACATAAGTTATGTTGGATAAATATCACTGAAACAGTGCTACTTAGTCAGAAGCACGAAATGGTTACTTTTTTATTTAATACTATATTACTGGTATGATTTATATGAGTAAATAATATCACTTGAAATCATTGTTCTTACATTATAATTTTTTAACTCCTCTACTGAATTCATACGAGAGTTTCGTTTGTAATTTTAGTTGTCATGTTTGTAATTCTAGTTGTCAATTGTTGTTGGTTGTAGATCCAGTATTACTTGCTTTTGTATTATTTTACGAACGCTTTTAAATATATTATACAGGATGGTTCAATTGAACTGCAAATTTATTTAGTGTGGTCTTTTAATTAAATAAATTAATCCACCAATGTTAAATACTCAAAAATAAATCGAGTGCATTAAGGCCATATAACCTTTTATTAGAAATATACTTAACACAGAGACAGATCCATGAGCATAGCCAGAAAGTTCAGCAAGTAGTGCCAACGAACAAATTTTGTAATTAATTATATAAATTATTTTAACAACTTCTTCAATAATATATTCAGTAATAATGCTAAAAACCGTCATCACATAAGATTAGTAATATATGGTATGGTATGGTATGGGCATAAGCCCATACCCTTGCCACGAAAACGCTCTTGGATAGACCCTGACAATATTACTTTTAATTTTATTTAATGATATCGAGTTTTTTTCTTAAGCAGTTATAAGCAGTTATGACGTCGTCTTAATGTTAAATGTATATACTTATTTATTATTATACAATTTGTTCTACAGAGTTCTACAATATAACATATAAACAGCTTACTTGAAATGTACTTTAATGTTCACTTAAGCTAAATTTAAAAATTCTATAAATTATATATAGATATATGTATGTTATATATAGATATATATGTTATTATAATTAGTATTGATCGTAATTAATAGAATATCCGAAGTATTATTAAAATCTGTCGTATAATATGTAGATAATATTTGGTAATAAATTTTTGTATTGTAAATATATTACTAGTATAAAAAAGAATACTCTAAATATTATTAAGTCATATTAACTAAAACATATAGAAAAAATTAATGTAAATTTCGTACTGCCAATTACTTTACTTATGTAATACATACAACTTTAATACGTAATATAATATATGCTATATATTTTAAAATAATTTAACGCAACTATTAGATTTGAAGTTTGTTATACTTATACGTATTTATTTATATTTGGTGCATTCAAGACTTTAAATGTTAAAATAAAATATTTCTAAAATAATCTCTTTTTTGTAAATTTTATTTAAAGTTCTATCGGCACATTTCATATTTCTGCACATATAGATAGAAGTTCATATTTTACCCTGGAATTCTTAACAAGAGTGATCTTTACCAATCGACCTACTACTCTTCTTTTGTTACTAGATTTCTAGATTTATATCCTTGGTAAAGAAATGTTTTAGAATATTCATTTACAACTGACACATCTTCTGAGACTAGCAGCAACTCGTTATTATAAAACTTATATACGTCTCGATTGTCAAATCTAGTGTAAGTTTTTCACCCTAGATTTACTTTTAATAGCACATTCACACTGTCTCATTTAGGCAGTCGCTCATTTATATTATTGAATTCAAAAGCTGAGCGTTCACATTATAATAATTTAATTTATGCGGCTGATATAGCGTTGATATGTCAAAAAAGCTACTAAAGAACTTTCATTTGTTTAAAATAAATCTTTTAAAATGAAAAAAGTGAAAATTAAAAAAATATATGTGAAATAGTCATGAACAGAAATAAAGCAAAATTTGAGTACCAAAAATGTTGTGCAAAGCACAAAAATGATCATCATTAGCAGCCTTAATGAGCAGAACTGCCTAATTAAGGCAGTGCGAATATACTATAACACAGTTTTCATTTTTGATTGGTAAATCGCGAGTGAAATGTATAACACTTGAGATTAATTTATAACACTCTAGATATTTTGTCAGATTAATGAAATAACCCTGAAAATAACAGCTGTTTTATGGTCTTTGACAATTGGCAATTCAAATATTGTGTTTACTTACAAATTAAAATAAAGAATAAAGAAATGAAGAAAATAAGCGGCATTGTGACTTATCAACATATGTTTGATTGTTAAATAACGTTGGAATTATCCTAAAAATAAATCCTTGGATCACAAAAAATGCCAGCTCGGGAATAAATCTACATTTCTCAATTAAAAGCGGCATTAGACGTCACTTACAAGCTTTATGTAGAAAAATATAAAAAGTAGAACTCGTTGTGTAAAAAATTTGATATTTTCGCTTACAAAAACATTTAAATCGCCTTCTCTTTCTAAACTAACAGAAGACTCTATCAATCAAAAAGCCCATACCAAATTACCAGAGTCAATACAAATAAATATATGTATATTAATCAAGTAAAAGAGTTAAAACGTCTGATTGATAAATAAACCGAATAAGTGTTTAATTAAAATTTCCACGCAGTAGCGCTATATCTCCCAGTAGTTCCATTTTTCTGTTATCAGGCTTTAGAGGTTCATTTTAATTAAATGAGAAACACTGACAAGAATACTCTTTATTAGGTAAAAACGTCAGTATGATCGCTTTAACCACAATCCATGCAAATCAAGGCATGTAAGACACTCCAATTCCACCCAAATAAATAATTGCTACAGAATATTAATTTGTTGCCATTATTTTTTAATAAAAATATAAATTAAATATTTTTCAATCCAAACGCAGTTTTAGTTTCATTTTTCTCCAAAATGTCTGTTTTGGTTAATGTCATTTCGGTAAATTCTCCAAAAAAGACTCTACACAGCAAACAAAGAAGAGTCAGCTGATTTCATGCGCTTATTTGACGTTTCTTATCAACGCGATGCAATTTTCGTTGAAAAGTTGTTTATTGTATCAATTTACTAAAATAATAACATTTATTTACGGCCGCTGATCCAGGACAAATATTAAGAATTGCATTTAATAAAAATGCCACCTACAGATGCACTACGCAGTGGTGAACGCGAACGAGAGCAATCGTACATTATACGACAAAGTAACAACAGCTATGAGCACCGCGAGTCTCAAGCAACTGCCATGTCCGTTGATTACACTGGTCAGTGGGTGTTGTTAGCTGGACGAAGACATTTAGCACTGCAACGACTTGGGCAAGATGATGGCACATTGCGTAAATATTATCGCAATTCAAAGTACGAAGTATCCGCTGCCGAATTTGCTATTTGCCCAAATCGTCAGGAGTTCTGTGCCATAGCAGTAGGTATTTTTATCAATTAAAGCAGCAAAATGCTATAGTTTCAGAAAATGTTTATAGACATCACAACATATCGACGTTGTTGTATGGGGTGCAGCTGAGCCGCGACATTTTCACTCACTACGTGGTCACACACGTATGGTGACTGATATTGATTGGCATGGGAAAAATCCAAATTTGCTGGTTAGCTGCTCCATTGATACGTTTTCGCACATTTGGGACTTACGTGAGCTAAGACGACCAACTTTATCCTTAAGTGCAGTTTGCATGTGTAAATTATTGTTTAGGGATTTTTCAATACGACTTTTATAAAAATAATTTTTACTGTTAATTATGTAGCTGGAGCCACACAAGTTGGTTTTAATCGTGTGTCTGGTCACTTACTTGCCGCTGCACATGATGGCGATTTAAGAATTTGGGATATGCGCAAAGGTTCGTGTCCAATACACTATATAACAGCACATCTAAATAGGTATTTATAAAAAGGAAATAGTATCAAATTGACTTCTTCACTATAAACAAATTTTAGAGTGCATGGCATTAATTGGAGCCACCGCCGTGAAACCTGTCTTGCTACAGCCAGTCAAGATGGTACTGTTAAGTATTTTGATGTCAATAATCCTAGACGTGCGGAAAAGATCATTACAACATCCTCACCAGTATGGCGTGCACGATATACTGTGAGCTATTTAAATATTTTTAATAACAAAATAAGAAAAAAAAATTTTATACTTTTAAGCCTATCGGAAATGGACTTGTTAGTATTGTTGTGCCTTATTTGGGTCGTGGAGAGAATAGTTTGTTTTTGTGGAGTAATAGCAAACAAACTGATCCAGTCTGTTCCTTTGTTGGTCACACTGATGTGATACTTGACTTTGCTTGGCGCCCAAATCGTGAAAACTCATCAGAAATTGTAAATTTTTTTTAAATCTAATATTTCAGATACACTCATTAAAATACTTTTATTAATGCAGGAACTAGTTACATGGTCACGTGATCGTACGTTACGCGTTTGGAAAATTGACGATATGATGCTGAAATTATGTGAGCCAGATACAAATGATTATTATGATACGTACGACTCCTTTGTTGACACACCAACCAGATTAAAGCCTATTATGACATCTTCGATGCAATCGCCACCAATGCATAGCAGCCAACAAACAACTAGTCCTGTACCAACTGAAGCTATTGATGCTTTACACATATCTGCTTCACGTTCACCGCCACCACCTATACGTAAGGAAGATGGACAAATAGCAATTTCATTTACGGATCAACCTACCATTTCACTACATCATGAGTTCTCTTTGTTAAATACAAATATTCCACATGTACAAGTAGATGTTTTGGATGCATTGAAACGTTACGCTGTATTTAGAATAACAGCTGTTGGTCACGTAGTGGTGCTTCAGGTGAATTGAATGCATTATACACAACACTGTTTGTCATAATTGTTAATAATAATCATTTAGTATATGATATTATGATTAAATAATGAAAATCATATGAATCATATTGTCATAATAATTAAAATTGTCAATATATACTTATTTATAGACAACTTTTCCTACTGAATACCCAAGTCCAAATGTGGGACCTGATTTTAGCTTTTGCCAAGGAACAACTATACATGACCACTTGTCCATGACCTTGCTGAAAGTACTTAAAACAAATGCCTTACAACGTGTGAAGCGATCGCGCACCTGTTTGGAGCAATGTTTAAGAGCTTTAGTTGCTGCAATGAAAAAGGTTTGTTACTAATATATGAAAGACTATTTGATAAATTTTAAATTATATATTAAAATATATATTTTTTTTATTATTATCATATCCCATTATTTAATACTGTTGTTTACTATTGATAGCAGTTGTTGCTTTTTTGATGTCTTATCATAAACTTTAACATTTACTATGTTTTCATATTCATTTTACAGTCTGTCGGTGGTTCTGAAAAATCGCATTTACGTCTACAATCGCCACGTCTCGAGGGTGATTTAAGTGGTGCGCTACACGATGCTTGGCTGCCGTTTCCTCGTATATCGGCAGCAAAATTTAATGGTGTGGGTATGCTAGTTACTTTTGGACAAGTACTTAACACTAAACGTTTGCCATTAAGGCATGAAAATAAAACACCTCGCACGCTATCCGCCATTAACGGTGGCGGCTTGCTTGGTAATGTTATGGGACCACAACCTGTACTCTATGCACATCGTGACTCCAATGCATCATTTTACATACATGATCGGATGAGTTCCAAACACACGAAAAATCGTTCATTACAAAAACCCACAATCACCTCACCGGTTGTGCATATATACGATACAAGTAAATTACTGAATATAAGTCGTAATATGGCACAAGAATATTCACTTGACAAAAGTAATATAATTACAACATGTCGTAAAAATCGGCAAGTTTGTGAAACAAACGGTCGGTATGATCTAATGCCAATTTGGACTTTGGCTGAGATGATAGCAACCCCTAATATACCAAACGAAATAAAATATGAGTCATTATTCTATAAGGATCCATTCAAAAAATTTCTGCTTGAAGCGTTGATAACGCATTATGCAAATGCCGGTGATTTGCAAACTGCAGTTATGTTGGCTTGCCTATTTCATAAATGCACCTCTACAATGGAACTAGACACCTTCGCCACAGCTATACAAAATTGCCAAAGTCTTTTGCCACATAAGACAGCAGCGAACAGTTCACCATATCATACTGTGCTGCCGATTGATAATCACGCATCCCACACAAAAGTATCATCTAGCGGTGGACTTGCTCTTATGCATTTAAAACAGCAACGTAGTAATTCTTGGTCAGATTCTATTGATTGGACAGATCTGAAATCACACAATGCCGATGCTTATTCCTGTTCATTAATACGAAAAGCTAAAATGCCATTATTTGACAACTTTAAACGTATTTATGCGGAACTGCTCTTCGGCTGGCAATTGATTTCAAAACGTGCCCTGGTAATTTAAATCAAATGTTAAGAATATAAGAATCGTCGTATAAATCGTTCTCAATCTATTTCCTACAGATACTAAAGCATACAATGTATTCAACTAGCATTCCACAGGGTGTGGAATTTGTAACAGAATGTTTGGGTTGCAACAAAACTAAACGTACGCCAGGTTGCCGCAAATGTAAACGTCCCGTCTTGTTTTGTGCCTTATGTAAATTGCCAGTAAAAGGTGCATCAAATGCTTGCATAGCATGTGGCCATGGTGGTCATGTTATACATATGATGCAGTGGTTCGAGGTGAATGTTGTTTGTCGTACATATAATTTTTATATACAATAAACTTATGATATTTTACTTTACAGAAGCACAACGTATGTGCCACTGGTTGTGGTTGCCTATGCCTTAAACAATCCGCACAGTTATTGGAACACATAATCTAAAAGCTGTTAAAGTTTTTCATATATGTTATTGTTTGAATTGTTAATCTTATATGTTATGTTTATCCATTTTTATATAAATTTTTATATATTTGTAATGTTAAGGTGAAATGTAGTAAAGTATATTTAGGCAAATCATTCTGACTTCACACTTTTATTTTAAATTAATAACGTAATAAACGTAATAGTGTGCAATTTAAATTCAATTTTTCGAAGACTTCCATTATTTGAAGCTTTAATTTGACTTAAATTTACAAATTTTTGTTAAATGTACAAAAAAAAAATAATTAAATAAAAATAAATAAATCATTTGTAACTGTTCGATATATATATTATATATTTTCGTAAGTTCATGGAGATTTAGTACACAATTATGCATTTAATGACTCGCTATATAATACTCGTAAATGTTATGATATTATTTTCGAAAATATTATTCCGAAATTAAAAACTTAACAGAAACAGTAACATTTTTATATTTAATGAAAATATTTAAAAAAAAAATTGTTCCTAATTATAAATGTTGTTGTAGCCCGCATGAACCTGCTTGTGTAGTCCCTTTTAGGATTGTTACGCTGCACAACAACAACAAATACCGGGGTAATTCTATTATTCTAACAACAAATCGCTGTGTTAAGTTAATTCACAAAGAAATAAACTATATTGTCTGTTATTATTACTGATAGATATTACTTTCTCAACATTGATAGATAAAGAAGCTGCCAATTAAAGATACGTAAATGGCCCGAATATCGACTTCATTTGTTGTTATTGATTTTTTTGACTGAAGTACTTCCATTACATTAAAAGACACTACTATAAGATCATAGAATAATATGGTATACTGTTATCTATATAATTTAAATATTAATTGAGTTATGTATATAAAACTACAGCTGTTATAAGTGAGTTAGAATCGTTAGAAATATCTTAGTAAAACTTTAACCATTCATTAAATCGATAGAAGTTGTAATAGTAGTGTAATTACTCGGTTTGCTAAGAGTCTAAGTTTCATATACGGCTCAGAACGTTTTATCTTTTCAGAAAACGAAGCAATATTATATCCCTGTACCCAAATGTTCTTTTTTGCGATAACATCAAATATCTGATTTTTATACGAATAAATCATTTTTCAAATAATTTATTAAAATTTTAAATAAGTTGAATCAGTCATATATAAGAATAGAGATAGATTGATCAGATTGTGTGTTATACATTAGTTTCTCCAAAGATATTGATATATTAGTAAAACTATTTGCATGTAATTATATACCTCATTAATATATAAGTCATTAATCTCAATTGTCTCAAGACCTTTAGTTACTAATTGCACTTAAAAAGGAAAGCTCTAAAAACTGGAGCTCTGTCGTCATCACGGGCGCATAACCAACTATTTATGTAATTACAAGCCCATGCCCACAGCCTGTATACTTTTTTCTTTATGCTCAAACCTCCAGCTTGTGGAGCTTTATCACTGTTACAGTCTCATACCCATATTATGGTTACAAAACCATGCTCTTCGTATATTACTCTTATTCAATGACAATAACTGGATAATAATGATGGCTAACCACTGGAAAATAGCAATGTGAATGTATAAAATACTTAGCCCTACCAATTTTTATTTTAATGATTTATCCTACCCATATATAATAAACTCCAGAACAAAGCTCCAGAAACTGGAGATTTGAGTACAAACAAACAAGTAAGTAAACTAGCATATTTATGTCTTATACATTGTTAATATTTACGATCAATATTCACGACACTTTATCTAAAAGTAAATTCATATATCTATTAACACCATCACAAGCAAACCGTCCTCCGTACTTATGCAAACGGATCAGTCGCTGCTCCATGCAAAAGAACAGTAACCTCCGTAACACCGTCGACGTCCCTATGACACCACATATGACACCACATAGCCTAACAAATTGAATAAACCTACCAACTATATATGTAATTGTTTTCAGAAAGTAAATATTATGCTTTGTTATATTAGTAAGAGGAAATTCTAAAAAACAAAATTAAAGTTTTTTAATAATTTTTTTTTTATTTCTTATGTTTCAAGTAATACTAGTTTCTAGTTAAAAACAAACAAAAAATATTTTCAAAAATTATAAAATTAAAATATATTTCAAATTACAAAAACACAATACATACAAAATTAATATATGTTATAAAATATACATTGATTTTTTCATAATATATATTATATGTAAAATAATTTATTATATATATTAAATATATTTTATATATTACATAGTAATATATAACGCATATTCAATTCTATTGTAATTTAATTATAAATATAATGTATTAAATTTCTTGTACATAAATACACATATATATATATATATATAATAAATACACATTCATAGAAAACATGTTAATAATACATATGTATGTAATTATATAATACATAATATATATGTTATATAAATTGTTTGCATTATAAAAATTCTGCTCGTATTCATTTAATAACATTTTTAAAGTAATTATTCGAGCTATAGCATATTTTTTATATATTCCAAAGTAGAAGAAAATAATTTAAAACTAAATAAAAAAATTGTGTGAAGAACAAATTATTTTATTTGTTCTGTTCTCTTACAATAATTAATTTTTTATAAAAAATTTTTAGTATCCGAAAATATAAGAGATATTATTATTTATTGCTGTTAGTGTATCGGTGAAAGAATTATTTATTTATTCATTTATTTTAAATTATAATAGAAAACAAGAAAAAAAAGTATGATATATATATTTCTATATATATATATTTTTTTTCCAATGTCCTATTAATTGGGAAAGATGATTCATACGTTTAGATGGCATAAGAATTTATTATGCTGTTTAATAGCATATAGTTGCTATGATAAATGATACTATATTAACTGCGTTACAATCAACTCGATTTAACATATCTTTATTAAATAATAAATTGAAGAGTATAAAAATTAAAATAAATTATATTGAAATATATATTAGGTTATTATTAGAAAAAACTCTAGAAAATGTAAAAAATATTTACTTTACAACACATTTACTTATAGACTTAAAAGGTAAGAGTTACAAATTGAAAACCAAGTTAAATTGTACCATTGTAACCATACCATTGTAACCATCGGGATATTCATTATGTTGAGTAATTAACTCGGTAATTAAATAACATAATAACAGAAAAAACAACAACATATATATTATATGTATGTTGCCTGTTACCAGGCTCTTTGCTCAAGTTCGAGAATTTAACACTAATTTCAATAAGAGACTAATGAAAATGCTCTCGTCCAGATCTTCTCGGTTAAATTTAAATAAACAATGTTATTAAAAAACTATGATGTCCGCAAAATTTTCCAAACAAGTCATTGTCAGCGTAGTTTTTTTTTCAGAAATTAGTGAATAGGTAAAATATATATATATATATGTATACATACATGTTTTCACTATTAATTAAAATACAAACAAAACTAAGCATATTTATATATATATATATATAAATATATATACTGCGTACACGCATTTTAATATAAATTATATAATTTATATCTATATATATTTTTTTAATATATTAATATAAATTAATAATATACATATTTTTATATATATTAATATATAATAACATACATATTTTTATATATATTAATATGCCTATTTATATATACAAATATACTTATTTATATATACTAATTTACATATTTATATATATTAATATTCATATTTATATTAGTGCTGCAAATATACAAGCTATTCGAATTCTGGTGCTCAGTACCTCAAGTCATGCCTGATGTTCGAATGTATTCCAAAACTGTTTTTAATTTTTTTTAGAGGAATTAAATTCGTTTATTTCTGGATATTCTTTATTGATTTTTTTTTTTTTGAGTCTTTTTGTATATCTTATAAGATCATATGGTTTTGGTGTAACATATATTATTTTATGTAATCCCCAGTTTATAGAAACTTCCAAAGTATTTTTATTTGATATTTTAAGCGTTGAATCCTTAGGAGAAACGTTTTGCTTGCAATATTTATCAACACGTAAACAAATCCATAAGGAATTATGCATTCATTCTAGAAAAGTAATAGTCCGCCTTTGGATTGGGTATTTATTATATTGAAAGTTAACTGTATGTTTTTATATATATATTATTATGTATATTTATATATATGTATGATTATATTCATATATTCAAATATATATATATATATATATATATATATATTTATGTATTTATATATACAAATTTATATATATTATCATATATTATTTATATATATATATATTTATAAATATTATATATATATATATTTATATATATTATATATATATATATTTATAAATATTATATATATATATATTTATAAATATTTATATATATATATATTTATAAATATTTTATTATATATATATATATATATATATACATAAATATTTATATGTATATATTAGCTTATATACATAAGACGTAAGACCATTTATATAATAAAATCGACCAAAATAACTTACATATAAATTATTTTATTACATATAAATTATGATTTATATATTTAATATATAAATTTTTTTAATTTTTTCACATAACTTAATACAATATTGGAGTTGACAACAAATTTTGTACAGAAATATTAAAATTCACATATAATTAGTAAATTAGTCTTCTGAATATGAATTACAAAAAAAAAAAAATTAAAGCCAAAATTTTAATTTTTAAAATATTTTTATATAAAAATGATTTTATTGATAATTTAAAGTCTGTGCCGACAACTAGGTTTTATATATAACACAATTGGGTAAATAAAGAACTAAATTTTCAATTTTTACAAAAAAAAAAAAATACAAGATAATAAAATAAAACGACAACATCGAGATATAAAACATTTATCTATACAGTGAAAACTATCCCAACGGATACCTGTATTATTATATATAGAAGGATTTTTTTCTAGTATCATTACTGGAAACAAAGTAGACTCGAAGTAGAAACACATTGACACAAAGCGTTATGGCGTTTAAATATTCATAAATATAATTGTTGAAACCCATGTGAGTTAATATTTTCCCGATAAGGTTTAAAACGCCGTGAGGCCCATCGTCAATGTGTTTCCACTTTAAATCTCTGTTCCAGGACATTTCTATTGTATGAACAACAAACAAATTTATTGTCCGATTAAGAGAGTTTTCACTGTATTTAGTTATAATAATTAGTAATTGTAGCAAAATGCAAGCAGAACTTGCCTGAATCAATATGAATGCATATTTTTTGTTAATAATGTTACAATAAAAATTTTTAAGAAAATATGAAAAGGAAAAATGGAATAAATATTTATAAAATATAAGACTATATAAAAAAAAAAAAAATTATTCGTAACTATAACAATTTGTTGATTTTTATTGATTGTTATTAGCAGATATGAAAGTGTTTGCTTGATAGTGTAAACAAATTTAATTATTATTATTTTTAAATAAAAAGGATCACAAAAATCTTAAATAAAAACATGGTATTCACTCATAATAGCCAAATAAAAAATTCAATTTCTCAATAATATTTTTAGTTTTTATACAAACTTAAAAGGATTAACTTAAAGTATGCACACACGTAATACAATTGCTTATGAATAAAATAGAAAAGCTAATTCTAGTATCTTTATATTTCGGCTTATCATTACAAAATATCATTTAGAGTCACTGCTTGTATATATGCTTGTTACGGAGCTTAAATATAGGTGTCATTCACATTTTTAAAAAAATAAATTTATTTCATAATAAGTATAATAAAAGCATGGAGAATCGCAAAATAACTCAACAATAATTAATAAACATTATTGTTGAGCGTTGGCAAATGTAGTTACAATTAATTTTAATTTTTATATTCAGAATTTGTTGTATAACAATTTAATAAAATGCGACCTAAAAATTGATGTAGTCTTAATCTATTTCGAATTCCTCGTCGTCATCAACATCGTAGTCTGTAGAATTTTCCTCATCATAAAGTCTTGAAGTTAATAACTTAGATCTGTATATATTTTTATTTAATTTAGCCGTGGTTGCGTACTTGCCCACACATCGTCGTATTGGTTTAATTGCCGTTTTATGCTTAGCAGGTTTAAATGGATTGCACAGTTGATGTTCGGTCTGTTGTTTTTGCCATCTTGTTTGTATTTGAGGTTTTTTGTAGATTCGATTATCCTCTACATTTAAACTGTGCAGTGTGGCGGCAATTGGAAAACGATTGCCGCCAATTTGACTATATTAAAATTTCTCCTTACATGCTTGCACAGTCGTTAGTAGGAGACGTACATTACTCACTAGCGGACTTTTCGGGTAGTTAACAATAAACATTTGAATATTTCTTAATAACTCTTGCAATACTTTAGGTGCATGTTCACGTGTTATAGCATCGCGGAAATCAATAGATAATATAGCTTCAGCCAAATATCTAAATTATATATATAGAAATTATTAATTATAAAAAAGTTTATTTTAAAAAATTTCAATTAACCTTTGCTTAGTTTCACTATGATTAGGCATATCTGCGCTGATTTGTTGTATTAATGAGAGTAAAACCTTCTGTTCCAAGCAACATGCGGGAATGAAAACTGAACTCGGATCAGTATTTCTTAGCGTATAATCTACCAAACTTAAGTCATTTGCAAGCAACGCCTGGTGAAACGCTTTATTGATCTGACCACTCTGCAAAAGAAGCTTAATGGATTCACGAATATCGTACATTGGTGCAGGTGTATTTGTTTGTGAACGTAGCTGCATGTTTTGACTTTCAGATATTTTACGCATCTGTAATATAAATTGAATATTGAAATATATAAATTCATTTAAAAAAAAAACATTAGTATGATTGATTTTTTTGTCGAATGTGACGCATCTTAAATTAAAAAGAAAACTAGAAGAGTTCGAACAGTAATGAAGAAACAACAACAACATTTGATGTTTATTAAAAACATTTCTGAATTTCTGAGTAAATTACAGAATCAATATTTTCTTAATATTAGTTACGAGTGTTATCAGTGGGATACACACAGTGGGATTAATCTTTTATCTTCCATTGCTGATTTTATTATTCATAAGTAATTTCTTTAATGCAAGTGCCAGATTTTGAACTTATATCTTGCCGAATTTGAAGCTTTGAGCCAAATCATTATACTGTACAAGTAGAAATCATGCAAACTAATTCAAAAAGGCATTTCTGTTTTTATTCATAAATGTCTTAAATTCACACAGAAAATAAGGTTACTAAGGTGAATCTCTGACGAAAAATTATGGAGAAGTGTAAACATAAACAGATTTAAAAGTTAAGAAAGTCAAGGTCTTACATCTCCAAGTAAGTTCTGACAAATGGAACCGACACCATCAAAGGGTGTCATCAAAAACGTATAGAAAAACTATCAATGCCGAACATATAACCATGTGCTAAATAGTTACTTATCGCGCATAAATGCATCAATTCCCAATATGTGCCCTAACTACAGTTCTACCTTCAGTGATTACACTCATCTGTTTTAATGTCCTAATGCATACATCAATTTGAATCTAATTGATCTTAAACTACATACCATTGGAGTAGCTATTTTACCACCTTGACCCACACTGTTTCCAATTAAAATCTCTACCGGCCTTAATCCACTCTTTTATGCAATCAATATCTTTATTCAACCATGTCCTAACCCATGTATTCGTTTTTGTAATTTCTTTCATGCTATATGCCATATAGATCTACACAAGTTATCACAACAACAACGCTGAAAATATCACGGGACTCAATAACAGTCATATAACTCCCACAAAATGGAATTGAGAAATGTTGTAGCGGTTATATGCTTATAAAGAGGAGTTATATTAAATAACTATGGCAAGAGTCTGCCTAATAACAATAATAATACTAATATTTCCTCGTGTTTTTGCAAATATTATCACTTTTTTTTGAAAGGTGTGGTGAGCAACTTATAGCCATTTAGATCGCAATAAAAGCTTAATATTAAATTAATATTAACCTAATAATTAACAAAATCTTACCTCTATCCGTATGGCTTCCTTTACTTGGCGAGCAATGATTATTTCCATACTCTTAACGTCTTTACGCCCCTCTGCGAGTGATTCGCCTATACTATGATGATGCTTAAGTAATGCATTTTCGATATGTTGTCGTAAAGCTGATAAAGCCGTAAACAGTTCTGCCCTTTCATTTGTTTGTCTGGTTTCTTGCATATAATTTTCAAATTGTTCCATAACTAAACCAAATTAATCAATAAAAAAAACACTATGTTAATTGAAAAATATAACCATATTGTAATAAACATACACTCTTTGATACCATACGAAAAGGCTTCGTGCAACTGTTTAAACATATGTTGGGATGACTTCTCATAAGCTGGAATTAAACTGCCAGACATAGATTCGATGAAAGCATTTTGCAAACTATCCTGCACGGCAACTAGAATCGACTTACTAAACGCTTCGATTACACTCTAAAAATAGCATAAGAAAATCAAATTTTTAATTTATATACTAAAAGAAAGAATCAAATAAATATTTAAGAAATAATAAAATTTTTTTTATTTATAAACTATCACGATTATAAATGATGCTTACCTTACTTTTACATAATTGTACTAAGGTTTCTTTTAAACCTGCATCCATCTTGGCTAAGTTTCTAGTCAAATCAATTAATATCTTCGACTGCATATTGTTAATTACTCCGGTGATAAGTGGACCTACATTTCTTTGCAGTTCTACATTTATAGTTTTCGCAATTAATGGAGTTAGTTGTGTTGCGAATAACTGAGACAAAGATTTCATTATTTTATCGCCCATTTCAATATTTCTAAAAAGAAAATGAAAAAAAAATTAATTATTAAAATCTCATTCTAATTCCAGATGCTTAAATACGTTTTAAATACTTAAATATTATTTAAGTGTTCGATCCAATATTTAACTATTAAAAATTTATTCAAAGTGTAGAGGATAAAACTTGAACCCAGGACATCGAAATATTGAGAAAAACAAAACAAATGCTGAACAGATACCCTTGGTATCTGGCATGAGAGAAGCTCTAGCAGTGCTAATTTCCACGTCACCAGCTGACAAGCACTTTCTAATAGCAGACTACAGATAAAAAGTCTTTGAACGTATGAAACGACGAGTAAAACATTATAACTTATAGACAATTTTAATTAAACATTTTTACTTTGGGGATTGGGGATCTGTCTCATAGAAGTGGCTGTTGGTGTTGTTATAGCACACGGGAATTGTTTGGTGAACGACACTTGATCGTTCAACATTGACGATTGCCTCTGGGACGTAGATCCGACCGTGTTTGATACCATAAAAGTGACTAGATTTCTTCATCTTAATCCTGATTGACTTCAATTTAAATCCTACCCAACCCCTAATTCAACTTCACTCCGCTTCCCTTTCACGCAACCAAGAACCATCGACATCTTAACCTATGTATTCGTCTTGTAATTCCTTTAATGTTATTTACTTTACAGTTCCCTGCAGGTTGCAATAACAACAACAGCTGACAAGGAGGAACAGAAGAGATTTCTTTAACTAAGTTCACTTTATACTGATATCATTATCGATAATAGCTAATTGATAAATGGACAATCAGTCATTTAGTTTTAATTTTAAGAGAATAGAATAGAATTTTTATAAAAATCAATGCCTTATCAGAAATGGAGTCATTGTTGCAGGAGATAGAAAATATATATAGAAGAAAATAGTAAATGGGAAAATTTGATGATACTGAAATTAATTTGAATTAAAGGTGAAGGAACGGAGCCACAAATATTTTGAGCTGCAATATGTCTGTTCAGACGGACTAATAAACTGCATTTTTGGAGAATCACACTATAGTTGTGACACACTTTTCGACTAAACGTACTTCTGCGGGGCAAAAATTAGATCAATATAGTTTTTAGTATACGTGGAAGTCATATAATAGACGAAAGTTCATATAGAACTTTGTAGTGGTGTAAATGTGAGTGCTTTATGTGGCGTCATACGAATACCCACATGTATGTCATGTGAGAAGGAATCATCACTTCAGCAGTTGATTATGTTCCTTGTCAAATCAGAATCATGATAAATTCAAAAGAACTACGGGCACTGTAGTTGTTGTAACCTATAGAAATCTGTAAAACAGATAACATAAAAGGAATTACATGACGAATAAATGGGTTAGGCTGCGGATGGGTATTGGTTATATGTGTGTCAACCAAATCAAAGTCAACTAGGATCAAGGCAGAGAAAGCTAGCCATTTTTATGGGGAGGGCCCAAAAGTCGATTAAACTCAAATTTATGTATGCTTTGGGACGGGAAAACAGATGGGCGACATCATGCAGGATAGAGCTGTAATTGGGGTACACCCTGAATTGACTAGTAACTGACAATTAACTAGTATGCGTGACTAGTAACTGTTTAGCACAAGACTATATCTTGATCTAAGTTGAGCTAGAACAGTATCAGCTGCACGAGAAAGGCGTCGTTATTCCTACCTCACAACTTTAACAGAAAGTTTTATAAATTAATTTATGAAATAGTTGTAACTTTTTTTTTTATTAAATATAATTTCATCACTTACTGTTCTTTCATAATTGCGGCTAATCTCTTCTTCGATTCATTCTCATTCCGAATTGAAATATTTTCCACAACTTTTGGTATTTGAACATCGATTTTGTATGTCAAGTCGGAAATCTGCTTCTGTGTACACTCCACTAATTGCTTTTGTGCTACGAAACAATTTGCCATTATATTCTTAATTTCTGCGATTTCTTCTTTGAGTGCCGTTATGTGACGAGCCTGAGTTTTATTTAATTCTTTAAAAATAATTTTAATTCATTGTTATTAAATCAATCAAAATAATTTGAAAAATAAATACCTAAAATCTCTGCAAGCATTTGTGGATCTTCAAGGTGATCAACACCATTAGCAGTATTGATGGTATTACTGCTACTACTGTTACTAATTGTGTTGCTGCTATGACCAATATGACCAGTCGGATGATTATTGTTACTCAAATTATTTGTTGGAGCAGTTTTCGGTATCAGATTAACAGCCTTCTGCAGTTCAGTTGATGTTGTTGTTTGTACTTCTTTTGGTGTATTTGCCCAAAGAAATTTCGACGGAGTTCCCGATGATCTAGGTTCTAATATAAATGCAAAAAAAAAATTTGATTATATCATAAAATTATACTCTTACAACAATGAATGGAAAAAATAATTTTTCGACTATCTATACACAATTACTATATACAAATATGATACTTAAATTGTGTTCATTATTAAAAACACAATATATTATGGTTATTGATATTCAGAACACAGTTTTAGATAAGAATAACTGAAGGATAAATAAAGTTATACTGAGATGAACGCTAAACACAAACTTCACCCTAGGAATTGTAATCAATTGACGACTATAAGTATTAGGCGATCTATATGGTCTACATAAAATTTATACGGACAAAAAAAATGTGCATACTTCGATGAACACAGAGTTGTCATATCTTAACTGTTTGGAGAGTCACTGAAAAACTATGTACAAACAATAGTTCACGGTGTTCAAAACACATGTATCAAGATAATGCGCCAATAAACGCTCCGCCGGTACTAATGAAAAAATTTGTGTAAGTCATATCTTCCATCTTGGTAAAATGCGAGGCTCATCTTAAACCTCTGCTACAATTTGGGCTGTAGCACCCGGTGGTGAATACGCAATTCCGCGCAGAATGTGAACCAAAACTGAACATTCTTCTCGCGTAAGTTTGGGTATTAAGCATGAGCCACTACGAATCCAACCTCAACTGGTCAGTCCAACCGAAGCTGTGGACCACTGATCCAGGTAGTACCAGATAACATGCAACTCTGGTCAGTTGGCACAAGTGCCGTGTCACTTACTACCATGTACATGAAGGGGAATATTCTAACCCCTTCAACACAGGGGGCAAACAACAGTACAGTACTCTATACTACGAGAATTGCGACATGTCCTAGAAACATGTTGATCTACATGTTCACATACGATGCAAAGAACATAGAAACTAGCCGCACTACAACAGCAACAACAAGAAACGTTTAAACAATTGTGCAGAACCACATTGTGGGGAAAAGGCAAGTAAATAAATCGAGGAACAAAAATAAATTGTTTGGATGGGTCACTTGAAAAATTCAGTCACATATAAGATAGGTTACTTTGTTAAAGTAATTTGTGGATGTTCTTACAAATTTTCGGTGGATGTTCCCAAAGTTGCTGGTATGTATTATGGAAAAAGAGTTTAAGAAATGAGATTATGTCGCTTGATGAAAAGTTGACGATGCTGAATATTTTGCGGCTACAAGTATCTACAAGTTCGTTTGCGTATACATTAAATTAAATGAAATTAAAATTTCTACATCTACATAACATCTATAGCATCTATAGTTGCTATAGATGTCTATAGGATCTATAGTTGCTATAGATGTTTTACATCTATAGTTGCTATAGATGTTTTACATCTATAATTGCTATAGATATTTTACATCTATAGTTGCTATAGATGTCTATAGGATCTATAGTTACTATAGATGTTTTACATCTATAGTTGCTATAGATGTTTTACATCTATAGTTTATTAAAAATATTAAAATCTCTTACTACATCTATAGCTGAGAGTGATTGTAAGTAGATATCTGCACAGTTATTAAATCATAACGACTTGAAGTAGGGCGATTATTTTTGTAGTGTATATAGTGCTGTAGTATGGAGGGTTTCTGCTTTTATCATTTTATTTAATTTGACTACTTCAGTTATATATGTGTAATAAGTTATAGTAAACTAATAATATTTCTGAAATGGTATTACAACGAAAAAGATCGCAAACCCTAAACAATCAATTAAGCTGATAAATATAAATGGAAGAAAAATGCAAATGAGTACCCCTTTAGTTATCAAGACTTTAAACTTAAATTAAAGCAATTATAACCTAATACGCTATAAACTAAAATGACATATTTCGATATAAATATGGTAAACACAAAATAAAAATGATTCTTTTATAATTTTTTATAATATACAAATTTCTATAGGCATACCTGTTTCTTTCAAGTTAATTTTAACTTCATCTTTTTCTTCACTAACTAGCATTTCATCAGTGCTGTAAGCATTTGTTTTATAATCACGAAAAGACAAAATCTCTTGCACTTCACGACTTGGACTTGAGCCACCACTTGCAAAAGTGTCAATAATATTGCGATTCATATTTCCATCAATTGCTAAAAAAAAGAATTCAATCAATATAAATTAATTAATTAAATTAATTCTAAATGTTAAAAGAGTATCATAAATATTTTATACCAGAGAGGTAAAAGCAATTTGAATACAAATGTGATTATATGTGATTTTTAAAGGTAAATTGTACAAAAGTGCCAGTGTTAAAAAAATTGGCTCTTCTTCTCAGCATATTTTTTTCAAAACTATAGATTTGCTGTACTTTATAATTTGTATGTTCATGTAAAAAATAAAAATAAAAAAAATTTGTATTTATGCTGACAAAAAGATAAATAAAAAAATACAAAAAAAGTATTATATTTCAAAACATGTTGATTTTCGGCTTAGGTCTTGTGTAAACAAAATAATAATTTCTACTTTTATAAGACGTGCAATTACTTTTACTAATAGTATTTGGTATCGAATAACAACCTCACTCTAAAATTTTAATCAATTTTATAGGAGACCAAGACTTGAAGCCTAAAAATCAGTTGACAACAAGTTTTTGATATATATATATATATAACTATATATATGTTGACACAATTTTCTACGATTTAGAATTACAAAAAAATTATTTCAATTAGACTATATTTCTAATTCTAGCAGCTTAAAAATATATACAAAAGCAAAGTTAACTATGTAAGTATTTAATGTATTTACTTATGAATTTTTTCTGAGTTTCTATTGCTTGCTTCAACTGGATTTTCTGATGTTCTTTGTCTTCAATGATTTTATTGTTAACCAAATTTAAGATATTCAAATTTTCATTGTTATTATTTGGAGTGCCGGAAGCAGCTACACTCGCTAACATCAGTAAAGTATTGCGAACCTCTGAACTAACACAATCTGCTGTTTTTTTCTCTTTAATTGTAAAAGCTCAATTTAATTTACTTGATTTAATTATTATATGTGAATATGTACACTTACCTGCTGATGTTGAAGCAAATTCATCAGGTGTCATAAGATTGACAGGTACATAATTTTTACTGTTAATGCCATTTTGTGGTGAAGAAGTGCCTGAATGTTCACTAGCAATAGCAGAAGGTGTGACTGCCGCTGCAGCAGCTACAGCAACAACCGACGATGGAAGTGGTGACGAACCAGAAGAAAGTGTTTTTTCTAAACTAAGTAGCGCTTCTAACATTTCCTCTTCAGAATTATCTATTTCCGGTTTCACTACAACATTACTGGGCACTAAATTAGTAGCAACATTTTCAGTTTTCGGGCTCACATTTTGTTTCGAGCTCAAGTCTTCCGATATGTTTAAATTGTTTGCAATATTTTCTTCGTTGTTAACATCAATGTCCTCTTTAATATCAATATCATCCACTTGTGGTTGGTACAATATATGGCACTCCTGCAAACTTTTTGATTGTACCACAAACATACGTACAACAACGCAATATAATGAATGCATTTCTTCATCGTAATCGTCCATTTCCTCACAAAGATAATTGTCATTGCTGCATTTTAAACGTCTAACTGCTGCATCATGTATACAAAATGATAATATACCAGAGCTTAATGGAAATTCAGTAATGCTGCGCACATACACTGCACCAGCGACACCGCTAGATCTTGAACTTACATTACTGGAATCACTTAGCTCATTTTCATCTTTTTTACATTGATTGTTGAAGAGATTTACAATTTGCAATACATAACATGCACGCGTATCAAGTGAACTAAGCACTAAGTAGCGTGACGTACGATCAAGTTCCGCAATTAAACGTAGTGTCTTGCTTGTATCTTCACAAGTGAATGTTATTTTCTGTATGCACTCCCAAGTACCGCAATCCCAAACTTTGAGCTCAGTGTTGCTATCAGCACCCGTTATAGCATATTTCCAATATGATCTACGAGATACAAAAATAATTATTTATTAACTGGTATTATAATATATCACAAATTAATTTAAAGGAGCAAATAATGTTTCTATAATAATAAAATTTCCTTGGTATAATTTGAATGTTAAAATTTCATATACAGTGAACATATTGCAACAGAATGGATACTACTGTTCAACGAACACTCCTGTTAAACCGATATTTCTGTTGAATAAGCATACATGATGAACATAAACTCTTGATAAATAAACGTCCATGCTGAATGAGGACCTCTGTTGAATGAGTAACGCTGTTGAACGGGCATGCTTGTTTAATAAAAATTCATCTAAGCTGAGATCGTAGTTTAACATACACCCCTTCGATTGAACAGACACCATAATTAAACAGAGACTTCTATTAAACAGACACCCAAGAAGAACAGATTCACAATGGAATAGAAATTTCTGCTAAACAGAGACTTCTGCTAGACAAAGATTTCTGTTGAACAGAAACTTCTGTTGAACGGAAACTCCTGTTAAACAGACACCCCAATTTAACAGATACTCTGGTTGAACAGACCCCAAATAGAACAGAGACCTCTGTTTAATATAGACTTCTGTTGAACAGAGACTTCTGCTGGATAGAGACTCCTGTTGAATAGAGACTCCTGTTGAATAGAGACTCCTGTTGAATAAAAACTTCTGTTCAATAAAGGCTTCTGCTGAACAGAGACTTATGCTGGATAGACACGTCTATAGAACAGTGACTTCTGTTAAACAGGCAATCCCGTTAATCAGAGACTTCTGTTGGACAGAGACTTCTGTTAAACAGGCACCTCGTTGATCAGAAACTTCTGTTGAACAAAGATTTCTGTTGAACAGATACTTCTGCTGGACAGAGACTTCTGTTAAACAGCCAATGCCGTTGATGAGAGACTTCTTTTGAACAGAGACTTCTGCTGGACAGAGACTTCTGTTAAACAGGCAATCCCGTTGATCAAAGACTTCTTCTGAACAAAGACTTCTGTTAAACAGACACTCCCGTTGATCAGAGAAATCCGTTGAACAGAGATTTCTGTTGAACAAAGACTTCTGTTGAACAGAGATTTTTATTAAGATATGAAAGAAAATTTTAGAAGGACCATTGTACAAGTAACAGAAATCGAAGTTAAGAAACACAAATAGCAGTTGTTTGAAAAGCCTAACTCATATATCTTCAAATAAGGCTTCAATTGAAACACCGTCGCCGCCTAATAAGGTAAATAACGTGTAGAAGAATGACCAATACTTAACGTGTCACTGTACATAATGCAATGCATGGAACGATATTAGTTATATAGTTATTAATAGAATGGGTATTAAACGAGTAAGTTCCCTAATTAAATAATGAAGTAATATTAATAATCGTTATTATATAAGTAAATAATTAATTATAAATATAGTAAATATTATTTTACTAATTTTATAATTTTGTATAAGAAATGTCATTTAAACAAATAACCTAAACTGTCTAACTTTCATAGAATATTAAACAAAACATGTATGAATTATAAAAAGTTATGAAGAATTAACTTCAGTTGAATTTTTGAGATAATGTACAATATTATTTAATTAATAAATAAATAACCTAATGTAGTTCATATGAACAATTGAACTGTAAATGTTGGACAGAAGAAAGTATTTTCTTAAAATTATGTATCATTTTTATATATTATTCTAATATATATTTACTAAATGTAATATAGTACATATCAATACAGTCACACATCCATAAATCGCTGTACCATTTTGCAAAGAAATGTTTCTACTTATAGAGACTTTAAGTTAAAGAATTTTTTTGTAATTGTATGTAAATTGCTCTCTAAACCTTGTTGCACTCTATTTAGTTCGAGATATAGAAAATTCGAGATATAGAAACTTCGGGTTATAGAAATTAGAGTTATGAAAGTTTGACTGCATTTTATTATAGTGCTTTTACAATATCAATATTTTATAAAAATATTTCACCGTTTATACGACAGTTAATTGAAACCGTTTTGTTTTGAAACACTTATAAAGGTATTCCAAACCCGTAACAAAACCTTTAAACGTATCATTACAAACCACATTGAAAGTGCAAATTAAGAGGTACTAAGTGAAATGTTCGTGTAAACATGTTTAATGAATTCCAATAAAATATTGCTTATTTAAAATTTATTTATTAACATGCAACTACATAATTATAATCATGTGAGTATAACATCGCTAAATAATGCGGTAATATAAAAAGTAGTATATAATCTAAATTAACCCAACATAAAAAAGTACTTTGTTTAACTTACTCTGGTGCACTTGTAGCCAAATTATCCAAAAAATAAAAACATGATATAGGTTTACCATCATGTGGTTTCCACTGGTGTAAGCAACGTGGATTCTGTTCGTGCATATAAACTTGATAGAAACGTACAAAACCATCTATGCTGCCAATTCCTAATGTTGAACCATCTGGTGATAAACATGTCCAACTTATGGTTAAAGTTTCATCGTGTAAATTTAAATATCCAGCTACGAAATCTTTAGGATCTTTTTGACCAACCTAAAAATAATTACTTATATAAACAGAATTCATTTCATAACGATATCGTATACTCTTACACCATATTCAGTGATTATTGTGCCTATGTTGAAACATTGAAATTTTGAACCGCGTGCCCAAACAATTAATTTACTGTCTTCAGTTTCTTCTTCATCTTCTTCTGTAACTTCAATAAATGGACACCATAATATTCTGTCGTATTTTGGTGTATAATTCTCAAGCGGATCTTCAATTTTAACCAACAAATTACAGAGTAAACTGCCATCAAGCATATCGATTTTATGAACATACAAAGAGTTAGCATCAATTGAGCCAAGAATATGCTCTTTCTCAATATGTGCGAATTGTATATCTAATACTGCACCGCCTAATCCTTTTATTAGTGTACGCATACCCGTTACAGCATTACTCACACGGATCATGCCCTCGACGCGTGAAGACTTATTATTAACTGCAACAATAAAGTATTTGTTAAACAAAAACTTTTTAATATTAGAATAACAATTAAATAATATTGTATATATATATAATAATTGCATAAATTATTGCAAGCTAAACAATTTTAGAAACATACTATTAGGCCACAAACACTGTTGGGAATATTTTGGTGGCCCTCAAACCTCAAATTGCAGTTATTTTCACTGCGTGCACTAATGTATATACATACATAATTCTCTACAACAAGTATAAATCACATTTCTGCATGAATTCACTTACCATTGATAACATATGCTATATGTGTTCCATCCAAATGTAATGCAACTAAATGTCCGGGATAGTATTTATGCTCCCATTTATAATCAACAATATTTTTTAACTTTACTCGGGATGAGCCATGGTCATGTTTGCCGGAACCACATACAACATTTACATTTTTATACAGAACTTTTTTGTAAAACTCAGAGCCATTAAAATCACTGTAATATAATACAATAAATATATAAAACCATTTATATGTACGGAATACCATACAGAGTCAATACTTACATCACGCAGCTATCAGCAGAAGTGCTTGGAACGTTATCATTGTTGGTTTCCAACTGTACGATTTCTTCGCTATTGAAGTTGTTACTCATTTTGAAAGATATTTTATTTAGAATTTTTGTTTTTGGTATCGCAACTGTTTCAAGTTGCGAGTTTGTCGTCTTTGTTGCTTTAATTGCTGATTGAAAATTACTTTTCAATGTAATCTTATTGGAATATTTTCCACGATCTTCTTTTAATTTATTTAGATTATATATTGTAGTTTGCAGTATGTAGGAGATGCCCAATGTACACAATATCATTTACATGCATTCGTCAAAAATGATAGATTTGTCTAATTCTTATTTTACTTTTTTTAGCAATCGTAAATCCTCGTATTTTCGCGGCTTGGCGGCTCCTTTACTGAAAATATTTTATTCCAAAACATTTACATGAAGTTGAATTAATTACGCTTAAAAACGTTTTATTTTAAACCTTTGCCGATTCGTAATGAAAGTTGGGTAAAGTATGTAGATAAGTATCTTAAAAAAAATTTGTTTGCACTAACATTCGCAACCTGTAAAATTCACAAAACTTAACGCCGCCTCGGCAAACCCTTTGTTTTACAGTTGTTTTGCGGAATTGCCATACGAAGGAAAACGTTGCCAAATTTTATTAAAACAACGTATACATTTTTATGTATTGATGACGGTAATAATAGGTCTACTCCACGAGCTATTCGTAGTAAAACTCGAGTAAAACACAAGTAAAGTACAAACTAAGAGCGTAACACAAATAAAATGCCAGATTACGCTCTTTACACAAATTTGCATGGAACAGCTTTGTGTTCAGTCTGGTAAGAACAGCTGTTTTTTGAAACACAAAACAGATATAGAAGTTGAAATATAAGAGAGCAAAATAAATTTTGAAAAACAAAGAAAGTTTTATATTAATAAATGCAAATATTTTTAAACACTTTTTAATTTAATAAAGTAAGTTAGAATACATAAAATTTTATTTTATGTTATTATTCCAGACATAATGAGGGAAAGAAAAATTGTTGTCATGTTCACCAACAGTTTTTCTAAAATTGCAAAACAGTAAGAAATTGTAATAACACATTGTATATCATAACTATTTAATGCATTTTTTAATTGATGGTGAATTTGTTAATGAGGTATCTTTTTACATTCACCAGTGCCGCACAAATAAACAATTCAAACCGAAACAGCTGATTCACACATCAACATCAAAGTCTGTGTAACATTTTCAATTTTCAACAGGGATGTTACGCTCTCTCAGATGCTCCCTTTTACTCGAAAATTTTCTGATGGAAATTTGTAACTCTATATAAAGAGTTACTCAAAGTTAAAGAGTTATAAAGAGTTACTCAAAGTTAATACGAGCAAAAATGCAAACAAAATGTGTTTCCGTAATTTTTATATCAAAAGCTTATCGATAAAGTATTATTTTCAATGATGTAATCAAGAAAAAGTATTAAATGAAGGTAACTTTCAATGAAAGTTTGAACTTTGTGGTGCCTATTCTTATGTTATGTGAACGTGGTATTATTGGAATAGAAAATATCATTTTAGGCATTACGTAAAATCTTAAAATTTAGTAGCTCTCCATCTACTAATAACAACTTAAAAAAGATATTTTATTTGGCCCCCAAACACTTTTGAAACTGATTTTTAAATCTGTGTTATAATAGATATTAAAGTTAGCGAAAATATACCAACTGACTTGATAGAAAATCGATCAATTATTTAATTAATGTCATTAATTAATTTTTTTATTTTCACTTCTAAGAACTTTTTGAAGCTTATAGCCAAAGTTGCGATTTTCACTTTTGTGATCTGTGAAATTTTATTCGCACTAGAGTACTTTGTAAATAAATATTAAAATAAATATTTTCCTAAATTCCTAAATAAAAAACAAGATATATTAAATTCAATAACATTAATTGTTAGTTTTTACCCTTTTAAACCGACTATTTCTAATTTTATCATATAATATGTAGCTATTACATTGATACTCTATAACTTTGGAAAATTAAAAAATTTTTCTTCAAAATTTTAAAACCTTTCTTAGTAATGTTACCAAAATTAAATTGGAATTTATTATTGAAATCTATATATAAGTTCTTGTGTTAATCCTTTAGTGTTTCTTTAGTTATTGTGCCAGACGACTAACAATTAAATATCATAAGGAATAGGACAGAAATTTCAACCTAAATCTATTATTTGACCTCTATTTAAAAAAGAGTTTCTAAAAAGTCTTATTAGAGAAATTTTAATTTGGGGGAACAAATGGAACATTACCCTCTATTACACAAGAAATGCACTAAATATAACTTGAAATTTTTTTAACTCAACCGGCACAAAAACATGTTTCATTTATATGTTTTTATATAAAATATAAAAATATTTCTATTTTGTAACACAAGAAACTTATTTTAATAAAGATGTTTTTGTATTATTAGGAATATACAGATATTGTTCCGTAACTCGTTAATTGGTAAATTGATAACACCACGTATGATTGTTACGCTTTAATTATATCTCGGTAAAATTGTGAAATGAAACTACAAAAACAGCGGATTTAGGTTTCGATTGGTTTGTAAGATATTAGTATGAAAAAAGGAAACAAATTACTAATAGAGAAAAATGATTTTTATCCTATAATGATTTTAAATTTTACAGAAATGTATACCTCACAAAAAAGTTTAACGTTTTTAACATATTATCAGTAAAAACTTCATATTAAAAAACAAGATAAATAATTGTAAATATTTACAACTTTTAAAATTACTTAATATTGTTCAATTTCAAGTTAATAAAACATATAAGAGCAGCTTTTATTATACATAATGAAGAATTATGTACTATAGCTTATATTTATTATTTTTAATTTATTTATGTACTATAGCTTAATAGTATTATTTTTATATGTTGTTTTAAATTTTTTTATGATGCGTTTCTTTTAGCGTTTTTCAACACTGAAAACCATTTTATATGAGTCCTTACGGACAGACGGCTGGTTTTAAACATTTTATGTAAAAAGAAATTTGCTCATATATTTATATTCAACAATTTATTTTATTTAAGTACATAAGTATGTAATGATAACATTTCAAAATTTCATAATAAATATGAGTTTCCAAAATCTATATATGTATATTGATATATCTATGGTATAAATAAGATGTTCTTAATTTCTTTAGACATTTTTGTCATATGAAAAAAAAAGAAGAAAAGTAATGCGCCTTTTGATGATATCTTTTATGATATATTGTATTTTAAGTCCTTAGATCATTTGTTCAAATGGTCGGCATATGTTACTTTTTTCTCAGTACTATTTCACTTATTATTCGATCAGAACCCTATCTTCATACTTTAATAAGTTTTTTACATATAGTTAATCACAGAATATCTTTTTATAATCTTATTTGTAGCTAATAATCAGCTGTATAAACTGATATAATAATCAGTTTATAATAATAATTATAAACTAACATTTTAGCAGTTTAGTTAGCTAACAATAGCAAAGTTATTTTAAAAGACTACAATATTTTTTATAGATGTATATTGCGCAGAGGTGCGTATACATCATGTCAGGAACGAGTTTACACGTTGAAATAAAATTCAATTTTTTTAGTTATAGTCGCAAAAATACTGCTTTTCATTTAAATATAAATATTTTTGATAAACAATTTTTAATAATTATTATACGACTATTATATTGTATAGTTACTTGACAGTCAAAAAATGATGTAGGATTTGTTTTTGTTGTAGATTTCGTTTATTTTACAGCAAACTAATGAAATTTTTTTTATATTTATATTGTCAATATAATAATTACTAAAAATTGATTATCAGTAAACTTAATATTTAAACAAAACGTAGTGTTTTTGCGACTATAAGTTAAAAAAGTGAATGTTTAAATTAATTCTTGACATAGTGCAAATACTTGACCTATAATATAATAATTATATTATTAATATGTGTACTAAATTCAATTAACTAATTTAAAAAAATAACTCCTCTAAATTATGAACGATTTTAATGCATATTTTGTTTCAAATAATACGATTTACCCTCAAATATATTATATGCAAATGTATGATGTGTCAAATACTTTTTAAATAAATTGTTGGCTCTCTTTTTGTGTTCTTTGATATTTTCAGTTTGTCATTCTCATTCTCCAGCAAATAGCGCGGAAAACGTAGAAGACGTCAAATAAGCAATTTACAATTTAGTTCAACTGTCGAACAGTTGTTAAGTTGTTGATATTTCGTGAGTGTAAAGAAATTTACTATTTTTTGCATAATATAAAAGTTTATGTTTACAAACAGTTACATCCATCAAATATACAGAAATTTTTGTATAGTTGTTGAAATCGCGTAAATATAAATTTCCAATAAGCGCGAATAATTCAAGTTGGACATTTGAAATGTTATTTGTTACTCTTAGCATAGTTTGTGGCCTAATTATAATAACAAAAGCTTAAAACTGGTGTTTCACTCTATAAATAATGCTGATGTGATCATCTTTAATATTGAGAAATTCGATTTATTTATTTGCATATATTGAATATATTGAGTGTAACATGTAATCGAAATAATTAATATTTCAATCAGGGAAGTGTAATAATTAAGTGATAAATTGTTTATTTTTTTTTATGTTTTGCGGTGCCTTTCTCATGTTCATATAAGAAAATCAAATTATTGAGTATAAAATAGAGTATAAATAGTGTTGTTCTCACGTGTGCGCGGTCTTAACAGCTGCTTTTGAACAGCATTGCCAAGCCGAAAAAAGTCCTAGTTATTCAAAATATTAAGAGGTAAGTGAATGTCGTTATTAATTTATAAAGTACAGAAGCGGATTGTATTAGTTGATTAATATATTAAAATAATAATTATTTATATATTAACATTGTCAAATTATTACAAAATCTGTAATATCTGTTTGATTTAAGCGTGTATTTATTAATATCTAAATAATACATATATGTAAACAGTTAACATTGCGTTTTTGTTTAGTCAATATCGTTGGAATAACTATAAATATTAATAATAATACTTACTAACAAAATATTGGACACTAAAGAATTTTTAATAAAACTTTAATTTTGAGGAATATTGATTAATAATGTTTTGAATATAATTTTAATATTAATAATAATACATGACACTTTACAACTGTGGTGAATAACATAGTGTTTAATATTACAATATATAGAATATTAATCATAATAATAAATATTTATTAATAATTAATAGATCTATTTAAAAATAATTATTAAATAGTTTAGTTATTAAATCCGCTTCTGTAAATCTAAAAACGACGTGTAAAGTTTTGCGTTTAAGTGAAAAATATTAATATAAAGTAATAAATAAAAAAAAATGAGTGAAACAAATGAAAATGAAAGTAGTGCTAATATTAAAACATCACAACAAACGGAAAGCAATGCTTCTACATCAACTTCGCCAGTGCCTCCAGTTAAATCAAATGCCACCACACCCGCATCCTCTGTTACTGGCATACCAGTTAGTAGACTGAAAGTGCCATCAAATTTCGGCGGCTCTACCGGTGCTGTTTCAAAAATTGGACGACCATGTTGTCATTCCGCTCCAAAAGCAGGGCCACCACCAAG